ATAGTGAAAACAAAGAGGTTCAGTCTTCTGTAAAATACTTATACACATAAGATTCCATTGGTTTGTCTGCCCTCTGGTGGTAGGACAAAGAACTGCAGGTGGAGAGATAGCTGCGCTATTCAGAATTTAAAAGGTCCAGTCATGCTCTACTCAGTACAACACAACACATGACAAGCTGGCTACCATAGATATTTTATACGTAAGAGGTCTCAATGGACGCTGTCGGCAGCGAGGCCAACGTGCCGCCATCTTGGATCGGACCACAGTTCAGACAGCTGTCGTCGGACTCCTTAGATCTCATCTTAATGATCCCATGGAAGACGAGTCATAGATATCACAATAATCTCTTAAATGTCACAACCCCTTAAAAGACCAAAACAAATTCTAAAATCACCCTTCAGTTAGATTACGCATATTTATTCAGATTAAAAAGTATTTAAACTGGATGAGATGTATACAAAGTTATATATGTTGCAAAGAACGCTTAATATAAGATTTTATTTTAATATATTACAAGATTATGTTTTACATATATTTATAAAGTATATTATTATGATTATTCGGTATTTTTAGGGATTGTTCTTTGATCGTGAGTATTATACGATGATCTATAGAGAAAAATCGTTGTAATGTGATTTAACAAAGAGGTGCGATCCAAGATGGCAGCCCTCTGGGCACGTCGGCCATCATCCAGTGAGGCGTCTACGTATATAATGACGTATATGCTGGCTACTCGGCTGGTAAAGAATCCTTCCGCCTCCATCAACTGTTAAACCAGTCACGTATCGCGGAGTCCTTCCACCAATGAAAGTAGTCCACCATTAATTGTCTATTTCTACATTATAATTTGAATATATTTGTTGTACAAGTCAATTAAAGCCACCTTCAACGCTAGCATAATTAGCATACTGCGGGAAGTATTTTATAATCATACAAATATATTATAATTGTATATTTTATTTAAAAAATCACTCAAGAGAATGAATTACTAAAAGCTTAGTGTTAAATAGACAATATATTTAAAAACATTAGATTCTTATTATTAATCACGAGAAGTTTTGTAATATTTAATAGTTTGGTTTAAGTTAAATGTTGATATGAGTATTTTGTCAAAGTTTTTATTACAGTTAAATAGATAACAATTTGGGATGTTCTTAACGTTTATTCATCACTGAAACTACAACCGAAAACTTTTCATTCACATTTCAATTTTGAAGGTCAGTCATTTGCCAGCTAAAAAGCGTAATAAAAAGAAAAGGCATTATGTGTTCAAATTATTAATTTATAAAAGGAAAAGCTTTCCATAACACCATGGCCCCAGCAGGAGAGAAGACGCCTCATTGGACGCCGTCAGCAGCGAGGCCGACGTGCCTAGAGGGCGGCCATCTTGGGTCAGATCACAGTTCAGACAGCTGCTGTCAGAATAAATAGAAGGCGCCTTAGATCTCATTTTAATTCCATGAAAAACGAGTCAAAGATAATATTACAATATCTCTTGCAGTTATATATTTTGTAATTAATGAGAAACACAACGTTGTATATTAATATATACTAACATTACTATATAAATATATATTTTATATATATTATTCAGTATTTTTAAGGATTGTCCTTGATAACAAGTATTATGATCTATAGAGGAGAGTTGTAATGTGATTTACAAAATAGCTGTTTATTATTTTTATTAATTTCATAGTTTATTTTTTGTCATTGTAAAGACATTTGTCAAATTATAGTGAATGGTAAATTTATGGTGTGTCTAACTTAAGGTTTTTTGTCATAAGTCTGTCTAAACCTGTTAGATCCGATTTATGTTCAAAGGGATTGTAATGTGTAGCCTGTACACACAAATACAGGTGTGTGTGTGTGTATATATATATATATATATATATATATATATATATATATATATACACACACACACACACAGAGTACAGAACAAGAGTTTAGACACACCTTCTCATTCAAAGAATTTTCTTTGTAAATTTTCTTTGAAAATTGAAGATTCACATTGAGGGCATCAAAACTATGAATTAACACGTGTGGAATTATATACCTATCAAAAAAGAGTAAAACAGCTGAAAATATGTCTTATATTCTAGGTTCTTTAAAGTAGCCACCTTTTTCTTTGATTACTGCTTTGCACACTCTTGGCATTCTCTTGATTAGCTTCTAGAGGTAGTCATCTGAAATGGTTTTCCAACAGTCTTGAAGGAGTTCCCAGAGATGCATGTAGAGTCTGTGTCGCACAAAGACAAGATAGTTGGAACCAAAGATCTCTAATTTGGCCTCATCAGACCAAAGCACAGATTTCCACTGGTCTAATGTCGATTCCTTGTGTTCTTTAGCTCAAGCAGGTCTATTCTTCTTGTTGCCTGTCCTTAGAGGCGGTTTCCTAGCAGCTATTTTAACATGAAGGCCTGATTCACTCAGTCTCTTCTTAACAGTTGTTCTAGAGATGCTAGAACTCTGTGTGGCATTGACCTGGGCTCTACTCTGAGCTGCTGTTAAGCTGTGATTTCTGAGGCTGGTGAGTCGGATTAACTTATCCTCTGCAGCAGAGGTGACTCTTGGTCTTCCTTACCTGGGGCAGTCCTGATGTCAGCCACTTTCTTTGTAGCGCTGGATGGTTTTTGCGACTGCACTGGGGGACACTTTAAAAGTTTTGACAATTTTTCAGACTGACTGACCTTCATTTCTAAAAGTAATGATGGCCACTCGTTTTTCTTTACTTATCTGCTTTTTTTCCGCCATAATAGAAATTCTAACAGTCTATTCAGTAGGACTATCAGCTGTTTATCCACCTGACTTCAGCTCAACACAACTGATGGTCCCAACCCCAACTATAAGGCAAGAAATCCCACTTATTAAACCTGACAGGGGACACCTCTGCAGTGAAAATCATTTCAGGTGGCTGCCTCTGGAAGCTCATCAAGAGAATGCCAAGAGTGGACGAAGCAGTAATCAAAGCAAAAGGTGGCCGCTTTGAAGAACCAAGAATATAAGACATATTTTCAGTAGTTTTTGGTTAAGTATATAATTCCTCATGTGTTAATTCATAGTTTTGATGCCTTCAGTTTGAATCTACAATTTTCATAGTCATGAAAATAAACTGTGTGAATAAGAAGGTGTGCACTGGAAAAAAAAATCAAAATCTAGATAAGTAATTTTTTTCTTAAAATAAGTGAATTTGTTCTTGAATTGAGAAGGTAAAAGAAACATTCTGCCAATGGAACAAGAAAATGTACATTTAAAATAAGAAAACATAATTGCATTGTCTTATTTCAAGTGCATTCCATCTAAATATCGTATTTTAAGTGTAAATACACTTAAGACATTTTTACTTATTTCTATATCGTGTTTCCAGTGTGTCCAAACTTTTGGTCTGTACTATATATATATATATATATATATATATATATATATATATATATATATATATATATGTGTGTGTATATATGTGGGGGGAAATTTTCATAAAATCTTTTAATGAAGGTAATTTCACTGGATCTGTTTTATAGTCTCATTTTATTTGTGCACACATAGGCAGACTAAAAATCAGCCATCCTGAGAATTAGCTCTGAAAGTTTGCCAACTGTCAATACAAAAAGAATTTTTATTAAAGCAGAAAATGAAATCAATCAGTTGCTCCCATGTCATCCGTTAAGCATTCTTGTTTTCAGTCAGCTAATTTATCTGGAAATCTGTTAAGAGTTCAATGGATTCAAAGTTTCTAAAGTCATAATGTAAGATTAGCTTACACTGATGCGAATCGTTTCTGACAACAGCTCGGTCTGACCCAAGATGGCCGCTCTGTGGGCACGCCCTCTATTAATGTCGATGTTTGTTTCCCAAACAGCAACATCAGCATCCATGGCTCATTTAAAGAAAAAGAAAATATTCTGACTCATTTGAATTTTTTCAACGAAACTCTTCAGGTCTGCACTTTTTAGCAAACTTTCCTTTATTATAAATAAAATCTTTATAGAACTGCGCAATCTCATTAAGAAAAAAAAACACATTTAAATATTTTTGTTTAAAGAACAATCTAAAATATTTCCTGAACTTTATACGATAAATATTTAATATCAGTGATTATCCCAGGTTGTCCAATGAACCATTAGTTGATATATATTCGGAGTAACAGACATAAAAACTGAAAGAGGAGTTGATAGTTATACGTAATCAACTTGCAACAGTTTCACTTTAGTCTGAAAAAAACATGATAACAAACAGTTTGTTCACAAATTTATGGTTTATATTAAAAATAGAGCAACTGCATTGTGAAGAAGAAAAAAAAAAACAAATTCATCTGGTCACTTTATCACATATCAATGAAGCATTTCATAATATTTTCACTTAAAGATCTTTAGAAGTTTTTTTTTTCTGATATCCTTCTGGGACTGATCTATCAGTGGTGCCAACGGTAGAAAACCTGTGTGCTTTAAAGTCATATCATTAGTGTAAATTGCATATTTCCTATTTTATTTTGTAAAGATTATTTCACTAATGCTCAACCTTAAAATGAAAAAAGTTCAACGGAGTCACATTCCAGCAGGTCAGTAGAGCACCAGATCGGTAGTTCCTCTGTTCTACCTGGTGGGGGCAGCAGTCCTACCTACTTCCCACCTGAAGAAGAACAGAACTGGAGCCATAAAATAAACCCAGAATTGTTTCAAATAAGCAAAGACATAGATCCCACTGAAGCAACTAGAATGAATCTAAATGCTTGATCAGTTAAGGTCACGACATCTAAGACAACATGGTTACATTAAACTATGTGCTTTTTATCAACACATTAAAATCCAGTCCAGTAAACAGAATTTCCATCTTTTAGGATTTGTTACATCCAGAAAGAAGTGGCACATTCGCCTATTTAACAGCGAGAAGACAAACCGTGACAGAAGAGCTCAGAAGTCAATAAATAAAGTCCCAAACATCTGTTGCGGACCCTTCCAGATGTTTTTTAGTGCAGCTCCTTCCCATGCCGACCGTCAATGTGGCACGTCCCACAAAGTTTGTCATGAGTTTATGGCCTCTAAAATGTGAAGGTGAAGCAGCTTGTTGGCAGGTTGGAAGAGACGCGCAGAGGTTTGCGTTCAGTGCACAGAATCAGAACATCAGTAGTGTTTTCTGGTAAGTCCCACCAGCTTATCTGAAGCCAAAAGAGTCAAAATTAAAAAATCTTTGAAAAAAATACAAAATCTACATATTTCTCTTTTTCTTTTTTTTTACATTCTTTATATTGCAGCTTTCCGGGTTTCAGACGTTCAGGCTGAGGACTAATACTGCGGACAGCTGAAGCGAGTCGGACATAAGAACCAGCTGCACCAGTCAAACACTGATTGGTTCTGATTTCACCGACAAATCGTCACCATGAGCTGATTTTCCTCCATTTATGGTAAGATTAGCAAATCCCACAGATTATTGCCAGTTTCCAGAGTCTGCTGGTCTGTTGCCAAGGTCAGAAACGGAACGCAGATGAACAGAACCACTGTTCAAGTGAAGAACCGTCTCTGTTTAGTGCATTTATGTCAGTTTGTTTTTTCTGTGCAGTGTATTCCTGGCTGCTGATCTGTTTTGCATTTGAAAACGTCTGACTGGAAGTTCTTCTGAACCCATGGTACCGGGCCTGCGGGGTTCTCACCCAGAGCAACAGTTTCTTCAAATGTCCCTGAACTCCAATAGAAACTGTTCTGACCAGCAGCAGGTTTGCTAAACATGGAGGCTCTCAGTGGAATCATCAGTTAGGGTCTCTGTGAATCGGACTCTGCTGTGGGACGAGCCGGGGTCATAGCGGCTTGTCGATCACTGCGACCCCTGAGGAGGCGAGGGGAAAAAAAGCTCATGTTAGTTCAGGTTTTAAATCCAGGCTCTCTTTGGGACACTGATGTTCTGACGTACCGGCATAGCTGCGGCCGTTGCTCATGTTGGTGGGAATAAGGCTCCATTTATCGGTGACCGGATTATAAAACTCCACAGAGGAGAGGTTACAGGAACCATCATCTCCTCCGATCACATACAGCAGCCCGTTTATGGCACAAACACCTGCAGGATTCAACAGTTTAACTGATTAACTAGAGCTAATATGAAAGCATGACTCAACACTATTTTGAACACTTTATCTAAAGCAGCTGTCTTTACATCTAGTCCAACAGAGGCGGTCAAGCAGAGGACTTGTGTAAGTGAGGATAACCTGTTTTATCATGCTTGAGTTTAAGAAAGTTGAAGGGAAACCAGGATTTGATTTCTTGAGGGCAATCACAGATGGAGGTAGGTTTGAAGGAATGGTCATCTGCATCGCAACAAATCTGAAGAACATAAGATCTAGCAGAGGGGGGTGGGGGGTAATATAAAGTAAAGGGCCCAGAACAGAACCATGAGGGACACCAGAAAAAAAGAACAGATGGATGAGAATGTTTTATAACCGCATGAACTGAGTGTAACCAGAGCGATGTGATGGGAAACAGTTTAGGGGAAACAGATAGGAGCCATTCTATGTAGGAGGATGAAGGAGAAGCAAAGGACATTAGTTATTTTAACTATAGTAGTTTCAGTGCTGTAAGGAGAAGAAGCCAGACTGGAACAGTTTATAAAGATGGAGGAGAGGGGGAATTAATGTGGGCTGGACTGCCTTTTCCAGGATTTTTAAAAGAAACTGGAGGTTGGAGATGGAACCAGGTTACTGAATATGTTAACACCAAAAACTGCAGCAGATTTAAATAAAGCCTGGCTCACAGTGGTTGAGTTCCACTTTTTAAATCTCCAATCTGATGGTTTTCCATGTCACACTGACTGCAGTGCTTATAGAAATAAAGCAGATCCTGATCTGTTCAGTTGCACAAGTCAATTTTGTAGAAATGTGGAGGAAGAGAGTCTGGTTGGTGCAGAGAGTTGGTAATGGGAAGGGAATTCGTGTTCTCACTAAATTCCAGTAATTATGAATAATATAGAAATTTCGCAAAACAAAACAATTTGCAAACTGATATCTTTATATTTTAGCCTGACGTAGTCCGACTCAATTCTAGTCAGAATATGAGTCTGATACTGCTCCATAGAGCTGTGATTATGGGGCGTGTTTTGAACGAACCAGGAAAAAAAATGCCTCTGCACTCAATTGGATAGATCTACAACCAATAAGAGCAACGGAGTGCGTGACGTATGTTAAGCGAGGCATAGTTGTTGTCCACAAAAATCAAAGCGTGCAGTTTCACGCCTATAATAAGAAGATGAGACTTGATCGCGTTTCTCTGTTCCTCTTTTAAAATTAATTTGCTGTCGATATCTTCTAGAACAGACCTAATAGCAGAATCTACTCACCCAAACTCTCCAGCGGCAGCCATTATTGTTGTCACCCAAGCGCGCTTTGGTCACGTGGTTGATAACGTTACTCTTGATCATCTGTCCATCATCGTATAAAGCCCGCCCTGACAATTTGATTGGATCGCCGGACAGTGGGCTTTAATACTCGCGCTACCATGGAGCAGAGCCAGACCGAACTTCCCCGAACTCAAACCTTGTGGGCGGGACTAAGTTCGGACTGGCACCCAGGCTATTTATATTTGGCTCAAAAATGTAGATCTTACTCTGAAATCAATCTGAATCAATACAAACTCTGATGAAGATCACTTTCAATAAAAGGAACCAGAACCTATTCACATTTTTTCCAAAATGGGTTAAAAAAAATAGCCCTGAATGTTGGAACTGTAACTATACAGTCGTATGTTTACATCACTTTTTTTCATCAGTGTTTATCACTGCTGCTTACCTTTATCAAGGCTGCACTTTAAAAAAAATGAAGAAGTCTAGAGAGCTATTCTTAAAGAAATTTATTTTTCTATACACTTGTGCGTACAAAACTACAAAATAAGATCTGTCTAAGTCTTTTTCAGGTCAAACCAGAATCTAAAATATATTTTACTGATATTTTCTTTTAAATAACACAAGTAGGTTTAAGATGAGAAGAGTGTAGCATCCACCCATATGCAACACTCCTTCCCTCAAAGACTCTGCTTTCAGAAGTTAATCTGTAACCAGAGTCCAGAAGAGTTTAGTGTAATAACAGTGCCAATGTTCTGGTTCCGGTCTCAGATGTTTTTTAGAGAACAATCAGCATCATGAAGACCAAGGAACCCAGCAGGCAGAGCAGGACCCTGGTATCTTTGGAGGAGCAGCAGAGATCCACAGAAGATCTGTTAGCAATTTTTTCACAAACCATGTAGGATAAAAAGCATCCAGCCAGAGAGACAATGGATGAGTTAGATCGAAGTAGATTCATGGTGATGATGGCCTAAACCTGAACCCACTGATGTTCTTCCTTTCTCTGCCAGCCAATGAACACCAAGATCTCTGCGGCTGTAGGGGAGTAATGGTGGATCTGTGGTCATCGTCCTACCTGCATTTCTGCGACACATGTTCATGTCGCTGACCAGCCTCCACACGTTGCTCTGGGGGTCGTACACCTCCACGCTCTTCCTCACCAGAGGACCATCATGTCCTCCTGCTGCGTAGAGCAGTCCGCCCAGGACCCCCACACCTACAGAAAGACAAAATGCTTGCATAACTCTGACGCTCTGATAATCAATTTATCATAGCTCCACCTTTTGAGCTAAAAAATATTTATTTATTTTAAGCAACTATAAAAACATCAACTGCTAATGGTTGCTAAAAACTTCTGACTGTCCATTAGGGGGTGCTGTTGTCTCACATCAAATGAAGTTACAGACTGAGCAACACTTGATTATATCTATAAGAAGCTGCTTTAGACTCACTCCGCCTTATAAAAAATAAAATAAACTTTTGGGGATAAAGGCTACCTCCGGTTTGTCTGTCTATAGTGTGTGTTGGGGTATGTGGATGGATGCGTGCGTGCGCACCTGCTCCACTTCTCCGTGTGCTCATATCAGCCACATAGCACCACTGATCTGAGACGGGGTCGTATTCTTCCACTGTGCTGAGACACTGACGTGAAGCGCCGTCGTAACCTCCCACTGCGTACAGTTTACCTGCAAACACACACACTGATGTTGGTTAAATAATCTACCTTTGTTTTTTGTTCATATAACAGGCAGCTCTTACCATCGACTACGCCGACACCCACGCTGCTGCGTCGGGTGTTCATAGAGGTCACGTACGTCCACTCGTTGGTTTTTTGATTGTAAACTTCAACAGTCGACAGACCTGAGCAGAAACAACCAGAAATCAGAACTATTCTCTACTTTTAGTGTCCTGGAAACATTCTTACTGGAAGCGGAGCAGTTTTCAGGTAGAGCTTCAATACATTTAGAATTCTCCTTCACATCAGTTCAGGCTGGAAAATACAACATCTGTCTTTTATCATTATAATCCCATAATTAATGATATAGAAACCACCCACCTCCAGAGGAAATCTAAACTTTGTGCTGTTTCATTTATTTGACCCCCTAATGTACATTGCTTTAAAAACGGTTGATCTAATATTGGTGGTTTATTCTAATTTAGGGAGGAAATGAGTTAAAAACATGTCTGGTTCTCAACCTTCAGCGGTTCTGTGTCACATGTACCTATACTTCCATTAAAGCCTCCCACAGCGTACAGCAGGTCTCCCAGAACAGCTGCTCCCAGTGTGCTGCGTCTCTCCTGCATGCTTGCCGCGGCGCTCCACTGGTCCCTCGCTCCGTCGTAAACGTCTACGGTCCGCTCCCGCAGCGAACTGTTGAACCCGCCCACCGCGTACACTCGGCCCGCCATGGAAACCACGCCTGCGGAGACACAACCGGAGGATGATTTGCTAACTTGTCCGGTTTTGGACGCCTGGGACTAAATCATGAACGGAATGGCAGTGCGTCCGATCAGCAGCTAGATGGTTGGAAGTTGGACAGAGTTGGATCTGAATGGATCCAAAGATTCAATGTGAGGAGGTCATATGTGAGCAGAAGGATCAGCAGCAGAAGCTCTGCTGATCCCGTACTGACCTGCCCGGCAGCGTCTGGAAGGCAGATCAGCAACCTGGTACCAGCGATCTTCCTGGAAGTCGTAACACTCCACGCCGCGGATGGCTTTAGGAGCCTGACCCCCCACCACAATCATCACCTGTACAGAACCACGATTCAGCTCTGCAGAACTAATGTGCAAAAAAAAGAAGTTGATCCGTGTTGCCCGGCGGTCTGGTCCTGCACCTTGGGGATGCTGACAGGAGTCCGTGGTCGTGTTCGGTCCGTCTTGATGAGGTGGCGCTGGTCGGCCGGCAGCAGGTGATACTTCATTGCTTCGATGAGAAAGTCTTTGCAGGTGTTGTTGTTCTTTATTAAGGCTTCTTCCTCAACAATCTGAAAACCAGGAACAGATTCCAGGGAAAATGTCACTTTTACATGATAAACCAAGCAAAGATGGAGGATAGGCCTGGCTTACCTTGACGAGGTAATCCCTGGACAGCAGTGGGAGTCTTACGTGCTCCATCAGTTTGGGCATGTACTCCAGACGAGTCGGTTTGTCGTATTTGATCCAAGATATCATCGCCTCAAACACCTGGGGAGAGGGATGAGGGGGGGATTCAGATTCAGAGGACGAACGGAGACTTTGAAATACAGCAGTTAGCATCTCCATCACTCACTTTTCTGCAACAATACAGACGTGGTCTTTCAGAGTATAATGTGATTAACGACCCTGCAGGCAGCGATCAACATGATAAAGGAGCTGAATGTTTGCTTCAGATTGCAGTCCCTCACCAATCTACTCCATTTGCATGAAATCTTCACCTGAAGGAAGGTTAAGTTGCTCCAGCGAAACAGGAGAACCCTCCTGCTGAGAAGTCTGTCTGGATCAGTTCCTGTCCTCCAAACTTCTGATTACTTTGCATCCAAACTGAACTAAACCAGAATCTGCTTTCCTGCTCTTACGTTCAAACAGTTTGTTGTGGAAAAAGGAAAATCAAAGGAAGAATCTGGTAAAAGATGACATCATATCCTGGCCTAATTAAAGCACCAGACAATAGGGCTATATAGAATTCAATATACTGAACTGATTTCAAACTTAACCTTTAAAGCTGGGCATACACTCATTGCACACGGCTACAGCTCAAACTGTACAACAAAACCACAGGGTTTAAAAGTTCACAGCGAACAAAGCATGTTCTTCATGACCTTACGATTCCTGACGGGAGGTGGTCGTGAGAGGCTAATCGCCCCTCCTTACCTCCTGTATACTGCACGACGCTTGAAATATTCTTGCACGACTGGAGAATCAGGCCAAAAAGGGCACACACAAAAAAATCAGTGTATTCCCGGCTTTATACTTCCACACCTTGAATCAGAGAGTGAAACCACAGAGTACTAAACCAGTTGCTCCAAACCTTTTCCTCGGTGGAGACTGTGAGTTGGTCACTGGAGATCAGGCTGGACACCTGCTGTAGAGACAGACCCAGGAACTCCTCGCCCTGCACCACCTCAGAGAAATGCTGCTCTGAGATGCATAAAAACACCAAGTTACAGGCAGCTAGTACAGGTGCTGGTCATAAAATTAGAATATCATGAAAAAGTAGATTGATTTCAGTAATTCCATTTAAAAAGTGAAACTTGTATATTATATTCATACATTACATACAAACTCATATATTTCAGATGTTTATTTTGTTTAATTTTGATGATTACAAATGACAACAAATGAAAATCTCAAATTCATCATATCAGAAAATTAGAATATTACTGAAGACCAATAAAAACAAAGGATTTATAGAAATGTTGGCCAACTGAAAAGTATGAACATGAAAAGTATGAGCATGTACAGCACTCAGTATTTAGTTGGGCCTCCTTTGGCCTGTATTACTGCAGCAATGCGGCGTGGCATGGAGTCGATCAGTCTGTGGCACTGCTCAGGTGTTATGATAGCCCAGGTTGCTCTAATAGTGGCTTTTAGCTCTTCTGAATTGTTGGGTCTGGTGTATTGCATCTTCTTCTTCACAATACCCCATAGATTTTCTATGGGGTTAAGGTCAGGAGAGTTTGCTGGCCAATTAAGAACAGGGATACCATGGTCCTTCAACCAGGTACTGGTAGCTTTGGCACTGTGTGCAGGTGCCAAGTCCTGTTGGAAAATGAAATGTGCATCTCCAAAAAGTTGGTCAGCTGCAGGAAGCATGAAGTGCTCTAAAACTTCCTGGTATGTGGCTGCGTTGACCCTGGACCTCAGAAAACACAATGGACCAACACCAGCAGATGACATGGCACCCCAAACCATCACTGACTGTGGAAACTTTACACTGGACTTCAAGCAACGTGGATGAAGTGCCTCTCTTCTTTTCCTCCAGACTCTGGGACCTTGATTTCCAAAGGAAATGCAAAATTTACTTTCATCAGAGAACATGACTTTGGACCACTCACCAGCAGTCCAGTCCTGTTTCTCTTTAGCCCAGGCAAGACGCTTCTGACGCTGTCTGTGGTTCAAGAGTGGCTTGACACAAGGAATGCGACAGCAGAAACCCATGTCTTTCATACGTCTGTGTGTGGTGGTTCTTGAAGCACTCACTCCAGCTGCAGTCCACTCTTTGTGAATCTCCCCCACATTTTTGAATGGGTTTTGTTTCACAATCCTCTCCAGGGTGCGGTTATCTCTCTTGCTTGTACACTTTTTTCGACCACATCTTTTCCTTCCCTTCGCCTCTCTATTAATGTGCTTGGACACTGAGCTCTGTGAACAGTAGGGCTGAACGATTAATTGCATTTGCAATAATATCGCGATATGATAAAACGCGATTTTCTAACCGCAATGGACGCGATTTGACGGTCACGTGATGGTCACGTGACGGTGACGCGCTAGCCAAACAACACAGAGGGAAAGCTGATGTCGTCTGCGACTAACTTGCTGAACAATGGCGTCAGAATGCACAAACACCGACACAACTGAAGGTCTGGTACCAAAGAGGAGCGGCACGTCATTGGTGTGGAATTTTTTTGGGTTTAAGAAAGAAGACGCTGCGCAAACTCAGGTGTTGTGCCGGACATGCCTTGCTATGGTTGCTACCTCACGAGGTAACACGACGAACCTCTATCAGCATTTGAAAAAACACCACAAGGCTATGTATGATAGCTGCATGGCTAGAATGGCAACTACCAGTGCCTCAGCGTCAGTTAAGCAAAGTACCACCCGACAGGGATCACTGACCGAACTGTTTGAAAGTGTTACTCCCTATGAACATAATGCGAAACGGCACGTTGAAATAACTCGGGCAATTACGGAGTTTATAGCGAAAGACATGATATCCGTCAGTATAGTGACCAAGCCTGGGTTTACGGCTTTGGTACACACGTTGGATAAGCGGTATTCAATGCCCTCGCACACATATTTTAACCAAGTCGCAATACCTGAGCTATACAAAAAATGCAGAGACAGAGTTGCTGCGGAGCTGAAAACAGTGGAGTTTTTTGCAACAACTACAGATTTGTGGTCAAGCCGAACAGCGCAGCCGTACCAGAGTCTAACAGTGCATTATATTGACGAGGACTTAAATCTTAAAGCTCGCTGCCTTCAAGCTTCCTACTTCCCGGACGACCACACAGGGGAAAACATTGCTGCTGGCTTGAAAGAGGGACTGGCTAGCTGGAATTTACCGGAAGAAAATCACATCTGCATAACGACGGACAACGCATCAAACATGGTGTTGGCAGCACAACTAAATGAATGGACCAGACTGCAGTGTTTTGGGCACCGATTACATCTTGCCATCGGTACGTAACATATCTCAGCATGAGAGTGTGTGATTGTGAATGCGCAGAGAGAGAATATCTGTGGGTGTGTGTGTGTGTGTGATTGTGAATGCGCAGAGAGAGAATATCTCTGTGTGGGTGTGTGTGTGTGATTGTGAATGCGCAGAGAGAGAATATCTCTGTGTGGGTGTGTGTGTGTGATTGTGAATGCGCAGAGAGAGAATATCTCTGTGTGGGTGTGTGTGTGTGATTGTGAATGCGCAGAGAGAGAATATCTCTGTGTGGGTGTGTGTGTGTGATTGTGAATGCGCAGAGAGAGGATATCTCTGTGTGGGTGTGTGTGTGTGATTGTGAATGCGCAGAGAGAGAATATCTCTGTGTGGGTGTGTGTGTGTGATTGTGAATGCGCAGAGAGAGAATGTGTGTGTAATGTAAGGGGTTGAGTAAAAGAATGTGAAAGTTAATATCCTTTTTCACTAGAGATGCACCAATCCATTCATTTTATGATCCAGTACCTGTGCTCTGCATATTGGCTGATATTCAATACCAATTTGGAGGTATTGTTGTAATGAATTAACTGTATAACTTGCAAGACTTGATATAGACATTGATAAAAAAAAAAAAAAAGGTAACAAATTACGAGATATAAATGTACTTAATATTATTTATTAAGAAATGAAGTGTAGATTTGCACTGCATTATGCTGCAAATTTTGCAGCATAATAATATAATCTAATAATCTAATTTTATGTTGCAGGACATGCACTTAAAGATGACAGAGTGTCCAGAGCAATAGGGCTGTGCAAGAAGCTGGTGGGGCACTTCTCCCACAGCTGGAAGAAGAAGGCAGCAATGGCTGAAGCTCAAAGGGAACTCAAACTTCCTGAGCACTCCCTCATCACTGAATGCCCTACAAGATGGGGATCCAAAGAAATGATGATTGCCAGGGTGCTAGAGCAGCTCAAAGCCATCACTCAGGTGTTGTCAGGTGACCGATATGCACGCTCCCTGATCCCAACCTGGCAGGATATTGAGGTGTTGGAGTCCATTCACAAGGCACTGCATCCTCTCCAGGAGTTTACGGATGCTCTCTCTGGAGAGGAGTACGTCAGCATCTCTTACTTAAAACCAGTTCTTCACCTTCTGTCCACATCAGTCCTGGCTGAAAACCAAGAGGACACTGACCTGACAAGGTCAATTAAGACCAAGGCCCTGGCTTACCTCACCGATAAGTACAGTGACCCCAGCATCCAGGAGCTTTTGGATGTTGCATCCTTTCTAGACCCAAGGTTCAAAACCAAGTACATCGCTGCAGACAACATTCCCACCATTAAGACCCGACTCAAAACTGAAATTATGCAACCAGCAAGGCGTGCATATAACCAGGTTGGTAATTATCACATTTATGATTCCATAAACACAATATATCTTTCTAGTTATAATTTAACCTCAACACTAATTACTGTATTTTTTTTGTTATCTGACAGGAGAAGAGAAGTCGTACTGAAACCACAACGATGCCTAAAAATGCACAGCCCTCTGTTGAAAAGGGCAAGAAGTCTCTTGGGAGTTTCTTCAAGACTGCTGTGGGCTCTTCTGTTTCTTGCATGCAACCCGAAGATGTTGTTGAGGCAGAGTTAAACAGCTACCTCATGACTCCTACCATCGATGGAGAGGAAGACCCCTTGGCCTGGTGGAAGATGCACAGGATTAACTTTCCACAACTGTGCAACATGGCCCGCAAGTATCTTTGTGTCCCAGCCACAAGTGCTCCTTCAGAGCGTCTTTTCAGTGCTGGAGGGAATATAGTGACTTGCACTCGCTCCTCTTTGAAACCAGCAAAAGTTGACATGCTGATTTTCCTGGCAAAAAATCTGTGAGCTTCTAAAAAAAAATACAGAGACAAATCTTTGTGGCTTACAGTGCCATATGTTTTTTGCACTTTACAATAGTTGTTTGCTGCTCTTACTGAGTGAATATATAATTTATATGATTGTTCAAAACGTTTCTTAGGATTTAAAAAGGTCATACACTAATTTATTTTCTGTTTATTTGAGAGTTTGATTGACCTATTAAAATGTTTACAGGTTGAAAGAAGTAATTCATTCGGTATACTATGCTGCACTTTAGTATGTTTGATGCCACTGACTGGAGATCAGTGATTTATTTCGTTTCTTATTTTGTTTATTTATTTTTAGACTGTCCTGTTAAAATCTGACAATGTTTAAGGAGTGGAGTCTATATGTTTTTATATCGCGTTTCATGAAACATGAGAAGATGTTAATAAGGTAAACGCACACAGATTTGTTTCGTTTATTATTGTAATCTGTGCTTTAAATAAATCTGATTATTATGAAACAGATTTGTTTGTATATGTTTAAAAAGACATGAGAAATTAAACCAGGATAGAAAAATCGCATTAAATCGCAATATCAAAGTAAAAAATCGCAATTAGATTATTTTCCAAAATCGTTCAGCCCTAGTGAACAGCCAGCCTCTTTAGCGATGACCTTTTGTGTCTTGCCCTCCTTGTGCAAGGTGTCGATGGTCGTCTTTTGGACAACTGTCAAGTCAGCAGTCTTCCCCATGATTGTGTAGCCTATAGAACTAGACTGAAAGACCATTTAAAGGCTTTTGCAGGTGGTTTGAGTTAATTAGCTGATTAGAGTGTTGCACCAGGGGCCATCAATTTTGAACCTTTTCACAATATTCTAATTTTCTGATATGATGAATTTGAGATTTTCATTTGTTGTCATTTGTAATCATCAAAATTAAACAAAATAAACATCTGAAATATATGAGTTTGTATGTAATGTATGAATATAATATACAAGTTTCACTTTTTAAATGGAATTACTGAAATCAATCTACTTTTTCATGATATTCTAATTTTATGACCAGCACCTGTAAGCTGAGTGACACATGCACGGTTATTGACTTCATAGATCCTTTTCCTTACCAGCGTACGCATGGGCCTGGCTGAGAAGCTGCGTGCAGGTGTGCAGGTCAGCAAAGGCTCGGATGCCCAGACAGTTGGTGGGATGAAGCTGTGACTGCAGGAACTCACAGCAGACCTGACGAACGTCCATCAGCTGTAGGAGGCTGGCTGCTGGCAGGAGAACCTGGAGGTAAAGCAGAGGTTAGACTGTGGCATCCAGGCTCCATGTCACCTTTGAAGACTAGTTCCAGGACTATAGAAAATACCTTTACTGGTCGTCTGCAGAAGCTTCATTCAGCCAGCATCATTAGCCTGATGCTATTTTGTTAAACATAACCAAACTACCAACTTTTGAAGCTTAAACCAGAGACGGGTTCCCAGTCTGGCTGAAATCTTCTGGTTTTTAGCCTCATTGATGATGCTGCTGATCACTGAGCGCACCGAACCACACCAGGTTTCCCTCAAAATAACAATCTTCAGTGTGGAAACTGTTACTACGTATAAAAATATGTACATCTCTGTACCAGTGCAGTGTTAAAAATGACAACAAAATTTATTTTATTTTTTAGTTTTTTTACTATTCAGAAAAAAACTTTTCGTATTTAAGAGAGCGACAAACATAATGGAAGAGACTCCTGAGTTTAATCACTGATCTATATTTTCAGGGGGAAAAAAATTAGCTGAGGATTTAACTTTAAGGGTGATATTTCAAAGTTTGATAAACTTGCAATGCCTGTAGGGGGGGGGGCTGATAACACCTTTTCTTTTTTGACACAATAATAATATTGCACCTTTAAGAACGGATGATACCGACATTGACCCGATGCAATATCAGCACAAATCATAAATACTTTAAATGCTTAATTTGGAGCTTAAAATATTAGAAAAGGCTTGATCAAGTGATCCTACTCAAACAGAAAACAACAGTGAGCAACAATCGGTATGAGAACAACTGACTCATTCATTATTAACCAATGGGTTACACAGACTTTAGAAAGAAGCGCTACTTTTTTTCAAAAGCATACCAATGTCAAAGATCATAGCTGCAGGGTGATATAAGCTGATATTGGACATAACTTCTCTCAAATACTCTCTTCTGCATCTAATCTTTGTTTATGCACTCAGATTTGCAGCTTCTTCCACAGATGTTTTCTCCTCCTGCTTTCCTGCTTCTCCTTGTGCACTTACCACTTTTATCTGCTTGTGGATGATTTCATCTTTAATATATGGATCTCTGATATATAGCGTTGTTTAACAGACAAACATACTGGAAAAAGAAACTCTAAAATAGAAATAAGAGCAGATTAATATACACTGGAAAGTATTGAAATAAGGATTTTTGAATTTTTGCTCCTGAGAGAAAACAATACATTTTGAGCAGACCTTTAAAACCCTCATTATGGTTAAAACAACATTCTTGAGTCTTAGATCAGTGACATCATCCACAATGATGATGGGTACCTGGTAGCTCTCACATCTGTTGCGTTCACTGGTCAGAAAGATGTCGGCTTTTTGAGTTTTAGCCCGATTCAGTCTGGTTGTGGTCACCGGTCAGTTTCTTAGATATTCTCAAATATTTGACATAAATCCATATTTTATCTCTTTAGAGTTAGTTTGTGGTTTAAGAATAAAACTTTACTTTTGATATAGTTGGAAATATGAATATAGGTTAAAATGAAGAAGCAGTTAGTGAACAAATAGGAAAACAGCTTTGACAAAGCTTTCTATTCAGGCATCGGCAAACATTTCATCAGTGACTCAGGCTCATTAGATCCCGGTCTGACTACCAGTGCTGCGCACATGTCTGCTAATCCGATAACAGCTAATGCCAGGGCTAACTTTGCCTTCGTCCCATTATCATTTGCACAGACTTTGGAAACAGTTGGCGAATCTAAAAACGGATATTATTACATCTATAATCCTACAGGTGTTTACTGTTGCACATCTGCCCTGAAGCTTCACATCCCCTAAAATTAAACTAAGTTGAGTCAATGCAAAAAGTCGAGCTTTTAACGTTTTACTGTTTGGTCCCAGAAAGAAGGAAACTAAACGCATAAAATCACTATGAAAATCCATGTCACACATGAGCACACAGGAGAACAAATAACAGTAAAACACTCTGGTTAAAGAAACCAGATATAAATGACTCATTATGAATGTTAGCAACATTTTAAAAATGCACACAAACATTAACAAGAGCACCAAGCAGAAAACACTGCTTAAACAGTGGAAGGATATCCTCTCTCTCCATCTCTGGCCTTGCGTGCTTCCTGCTCTGATAATAATAGGAAGGAACCCGCCTGCTGCTGGATCAAACTGGGCCTTGAGCACAACAGTCAAGCTTAAGAGTTAAAACCAGCAGGTAAACATGGCCTCATTCACAGCCATTACCTGCTCCTCCATCCTTCAGTCACCTCATCACTTTCACTTATTTGAGTCAAAGTGATGAAACGTTCCTTAGATCCAGATTTATTTGCAGCCTCTCACCATAAAAAAAGACAGATTTAGACATCATATAATAACTGTTTTCCTATTTGTTCACCAACTACTTCTTCATTTTAACCTATATTCATATTTCCAACTATATCAAAAGTAAAGTTTTATTCTTGAACCACAAAATAATCTAAAGAGATAAAATATGGATTCATGTCAAATATTTGAGAATATCTAATAATTGACCGGTGACCACAACCAGACTGAATTGGGCTAAAACTCAAAAAGCCAACATTTTTCTGACCAGTGAACGCAACAGATGTGAGAGCTACCAGGTACCCATCATCATTGTGGATGATGTCACTGATCTAAGACTCAAGAATGTTATTTTAACCACAATGAGGCTTTTAAAGGTCTGATCAAAGACAGCAGACTTGAAAATTGTTACTTTAGAGAACCACTTTTTGCGAGATGCAAAAACATCGAAACGTTGGCAGTGTTTTAAAAACATTACAGATTTCAGGATCGACTGTACATCTTCAGCGGGACACAAAAGAATGCTGTTTTATTAAAGCTAGACTTACCAAACTGCTAATATAAGATACCAAACACTTTGAATTATCAAATATAATGTCTGCTTTTTAAATTATAATTTCTTTCTAACACACAGTGAATTAGGAAAACATTTAATGTTGATCATATGGAAAAATTTTTAAAAACAATCCAAAATTAGAAAATAAAAATCAGCAGGTTTGAAAGGTTGACAAAAAAAAAAACAGAAGGAAAATTATAAAATTTAATATCCTTACATTTTTCTGTTATTTAGAACTAAAAAAAGAAGCACGAATACTTTATCGTCAGTATTATTTATCAAAATGATTTTATCCAGTAAATACTAAACATTCAGCTGATAAAAAAAAAAAAACAGGAGGCAGCATTTAATACCAGCTTGATTTGGGTCATTCTGACACAGACTGAAAGCGCTGAACAAAACAAATATCCAAGCAAAGGAAAGAGGTCAGGGAAGTAGTTTCTGGCTTCCTGCTCAACATCCAGGAAGTCCTGACTAACCCAGAGGTATTTCAGACTTAATTACACAAACTGTAAATAAGAACCCAAAAATCTAAAAACAGATTGAGGTTTTGGGATTTCTGGTTGTCTAGAGATCCTTCTTAAATCTAAACCAAACATTTGGAAAGAAAATTAGAAAACACTAAAGAGGCTATAAATTCCCCTCTTTGGCTGATTGCTGGGTACATTTTTCCACAAATCCAAAAGGGTGGCCCATCCTAAACCTGCTAACTGCATCTGGGTTGATGAAAAAATGTCTTCAAACTTCAAACAAAGTTGAACATTTACTGACGTTTGACAACTGAGGCTGGATGTGGACAAACAGAGAGTTACACACGAATTAAGACAGCATCTGACTTTGATGGGTTTTATTTCAGATTCCAGCATTCAGCCATGTTTAGAGATGAAAGAGAAATATCCTCCAGTCAAAGTCTTCTGTCCATTCCTCCAAACTCAAGTTATCTATGTCAGCTGTAGGCGGGTTTAAACTGGAATAAACTCCCTCTCCTCAAGGCTCCATCCCAACAGTGATCATTTCAGGTGGGACAAAGTAATGTGTCGCTATCCTAACTCAACAGAAAGAAGGGCTAACGTGCCTACTTAGCATGGCACATAGCAACGATTAACGTTTGCTGTGATCAATATTTCACTCAAGAGGAAACCATTATGGTTAGTCTTCTTTGATTTGTTAAAAATGCGAAAAATATATATTTTTTCTGTGTGTGTAGAGAATCCCTGACTGCAGCCTGTGCATGCTAGCTTAGAATGGCATCAGTTTTAAAATAAAAAACTGCTTATAACGGCAAAATCTCAGCGATATAAACATTTATTCTGAACAAAATTAACAACACAAACAGTTTATGATTTTAATTGTATGGGGTAAGATGATTGTCAATAAAAATGCATGTGTAGATGTCTGCATTTTTTATTGTATGTCAATAGAGGTGAAGAAATTTAAGTTATGAATTTGCTCCTTGTTGTGAACTCATACATACATGACATCAGATGTTTACAACTTACAACTTTAAAACGATACCAGTACAAATTTATGAGAAAGAATCACAAATCTGTACTAATTATTTGTAGTCGTATTTAAATTTTTTCCTTTTCACTTGATAATGTGTCCTTTTTACTAAAACATTGGTGAATTAAACGTATATATTTATGATGTCACATTAATGTATGAGCTGACAACAAGGAACAAAACAGATTTTACTTTTCTTCATTACTCCAAATGATAATTTCAGGCATCTAAGCAAGCATTTTTATTGAATATTATCTTACCCCATATTATTTGTTTGCTATAGTAAAGGAAAATGTTCTTTGTAAAAAGAAAAACCTGAAAGAAAAAATATTTTTTTTTATATATAGACTGAATCAATAATAGTTTGCAGCAGCCATGATGAAAACAGAGGGCTGTAAATATTCATCCTAGAGGATTATTAGATAAAATTAGGCTTTTTACTGCTCATCTCTATTTAAAAACAGACCTGAAAAGTAACGCAAACTGCATGAGGACAATAGGTGGCAAACATTTTCTCTCCTACTCACCTGGACATTATCCTCTGTAACCTCTATCTCAGCTGTGTAAATATAGTCCACCAGTTTCCTCAGAGTCTGGCCGTCCACCTCCCTGATCTCCACCTGGTGGGCTTTGCTCTCGCTCATGTCACCTACAGACAGACATGTAATCACCTTCAGCCGCACAGCAGAGTTACAAACCAGATTCCCGTGCACACACAAAGCTTAAATCCAATACCTGTGAACATGGCACAGAAGTAAGGGCTACAGGATGCCAGGACCACCCGGTGGGCTGGAACTTCAACGCTACCCGCCACCAGCTGTACGTCACACAGCATCTTTTTACTGACGGACAGGCAGCAGCGTAGAAACAGGTTATTAGTTTGTCATTACTTACGACAACATATATGCTCCAAACCGTATCTACCTCCTCAGATCGTTCATCAGCTGGAAGGCTTTCCTCATGTGTGTCTGGTTGAACGTGTGAATCCCTCCGTTCACCGTGTCCTCCTCTGAATCCGTGGGGCAGTTTGGACGTGGCGAGGCCGGTGGGGCCACCAGACTGGTAAGACATGAGAGGCAGTGTCTGGATCAGTGGAGAGATAGATGGGGACGAACCAATAAGTTAGACATAGGTAGGATTATCTCAAAATCAACTTAAAATTAGTGTGGCTTGATAACTAAAAAGGCGACGCAATTAACTCTTAGAATCGAAGTGTTTTGTTCACTAATGGAGGAGAGTTGGCCTAGTGGTTGGAGCAGTGCGCTTGTGCTCTGAGAAGGTTGCAAGTACCCGGTTGGATCCCCACAGCCTGCACTCTGGGTTCCTGAGCAAAACCCTTAACCCCACACTGCAACCCCGGCGCCACACAATGGCAGCCCACTGCTCCCCACGGGGATGGGTCAAAATGCAGAGAGTTAATTTCCCCATTACCAGACAATAAAGGGATTTACGTTACATAACTTTTATTATTAAGTTAAGATGGCCCCTTACAGGAAAGTTTCAGCCATGTTGGCATTTCCTCTGCACCACAAAAACTAACACTATTTGGTCCTTAGATGTTAACGGTTATCCGGCAGAGGTCAAGAAATGTTTCCACAATCAAAACAAGATGTTCTACTTTTAATGTGGTTGAAGTTCACCACTGTCATTTTGATGTTTATATGCTAGATTAGCACCGTCCTGTTTGTTATAACATCAGCTAATGCTCAAATAGAAAGATACAGAATAGAGACGTTTAAACAACACAGACTAGGTCTCCAGAAAAGACTAATCAAAAAGCAACTTTCAGATTACTGGTCAGCCCTTATTTATGTCTATATGATATATTTCCTTGTATAAAAAGTAAAGTAGCTATTTGTACCGAGAACAGACACATCAGAATAAACAGGATCAAACTTTACGTTCGTTAATTATTTACAGTAGAATAACTAAACCTCCTAGCATAGCACGCCATATTTTATTGTTCAGTTGTAACAAGTACTGTAACTGTACTACTGAATGATGCTGAAGGTGATGACTGTACTTCTGAAGAAAACTCAGATCATCCAGTGTTGAAACACTGCCTGTGTAAAAAAATAATTATAATAAAAACAAAAGAAAACAATTTTTCCAATTTTTAATCTAAAACTTATTCTTATAGATCAATTCATTTCACTATGTTTTCTTTTATTTCCACCGTCCTTCCAGTTGCTATTATTTACCATTAAGTTATAACTTTGCAGCTAAATCTTAATATAATACTAGTATCAATAAGCTGTAAAACTTACGAGTCATGTAATTAATAAATGAATTTAAAATGTGTTAAATAAAATTTTAGATTAAATCATAAACACAGATTCTAGATCGTGGGAATCATAATTAAAATCATTCTTGAACTTTAAAATCGATGTCTATCCTTATTCCCAACAGACATTAGTCAGAGTAGCCTTATCTGCAACCCTGGGATAAAAACCATAAAGGAAAAACCCTGAGCTTATCAACGATGTGTCTTCTGTCAAAAACCTGCTCAGATCCACCACAGCTTATGACATCCTAGATCTAAGTCTGCAATGGCTCTCTGCAGAAAGATTATCAAAATTCATCTAACATTTCATTTACCCTCTGGTTTAACGAGGTACTAATCTGTCATTATTCTATCCAGCACATTGTGTGACCTTCATTATTTTTGGCACTACCAGCTCTAATGTAGTGACACTCTATTCAGCAGATAAAATTGTTTATTTGTACTCTAAACAATAAGCTGAACCATTCCTATGAAAAAAAAAACGATTATCAAATATTCAATTAGTTAATGAATTGAATAATCGTTACCTGAAGTTAATGGACTAAAATGTGACATCACAGCATCTTAGCATATTTTGCTATATGATTATCAATCTATTAATCAAATCTAGTCAAACTTTAATCAGTTAGAGTATTAATTCCAAATCTTGCCAATAAAAGTGTTAACTATTGCCACTTATAGCAAAATGGCCAACAAATGTCTTTAGTGATATTTTGGGGGAGGGGTGACCTAGTAGTTTATTAAAATAATGGTAATTTTTTTTGTATAATTTTAATTTATATATATATATAGGCACAGATTTTGGGATGTAGACACATTTTCGATGCATCTTTTGAGTTTTAATGACTGCTTTTACACACATAAGTGATTAAAAAAAAATAAAAAAATCAGATGTCAGTTTACCATCAAGTGTATTTTATAATTACAGTTTAGCCAATGATCCTGCCAACATAGATGTTAATGTGACTCTTTGGGGAATATAAACAAATTAGGGGGAAAATCCAAAAAGAAAACGTGTTTTCTATTTACCCAGATTTCATAACATCATTGAAAATTGAAGATATGAAAATTAACATAGCCAGTATATATTACACATCAAAACATGCCTGTGTGTCCACATCTACATGCAACAGATCTACACATAATCCGTTTAGATTCTGTTGATCATTCTATGTGGATATTGGCCTCATTGTTGGGATATATTTAGACTTATAAAGTGAAGGATGAAGCTGTTGCAGAATCGTTTGCTTTTGAACCTCCAGGCAGAGTTGAGCAGTGAGAGCAGATTGTAATGTGGGTGTGTGGAGTTTCTGATCATGTTATTGGCTCTAAAGTGATAAAGATGCTGGAATTAAAACCAAAGGCTGTCAACCAGTGGTCAGTGGATGTCAGCCATTAAGTAAAAAAAACAAAAACTTTAAAATGTGTGCCACTAACACTCCTCTGTTAGCAGCAACAGGATGGCTAGCTCCTAGCATCGCTGTTTATTAACTTGTAAGCCAACAGGAGCTTTTAGCAGCTGTTACCTTCAATAAACCATCACCGCAGCTTTAATCTGGATCTATTTTATGATTGAGACAGCTCAGTTTAAGTGATATTTGCCGAGTATCAGTGTGGTAACTTTGCTTTGAATTTGACTGCATCGCACCAACTGTCAGCAATGCTAGCAAACTAACCGAAGCTAAGAAGCTAGCTTAGAGTTCCTGTAGCGGGAGGAGGTGTCGGGAGCACGGCTTGGATTTGTGGGTCATGTGGACTAAAATGTTCTCCGGCAGATGTAGAATCAGCGTGAATGGCAGCTTTGCTTAATAATCCTCAGCGCTGAGCCGACTCACCCTAACGACACACCGTCCATCCTCCCGGAGTCAGAGCGCACAGCAGGCATGAGAGCGCTGCCCGAGCATCCAGCGCAGCTCGTCTATTAGCGAGAGGGGTCACTCTGGCAACACAGCTGTTGCTTTTCAGGCAGAGCTTGTATGTTCGCAAGACGAGTCACTCAACCTGAACATTAATGGTCTTGCTTAACACTTCGCATTTAGAAGTATTTATTTATTTGTTGAATATATATATTTTTTAGCAATTATTGATGGAAAATAAGCTATTCAAAATGTTTTCTAGAAATAAATTAAAATTAATCATACAACAGAGAAATTGAAAATAACATATAACAACTCCTGAATAACATAATAAAGGTCTTTTAAAACGATCTATATCTGGTATCCCTTCGAAAGTTTTTTGTTTTATAAACTATAAATGGGACCTTGACCCAATGTGAAACTTTTGTGTGGATAATGAAACTCTGGTTGATCTCTTTTGTGGCTTTTTTTTTTATACAGAAATGCAGTTTTTTTGTTTTATTTTTTGTTTTGTTTTTCATGAATACCCAGGTGTGCTTAAATAACAAAATATTTTGTTTGGTACAGTGAAAAAAATAAACTGCTTATTATTGAAATGTTGCATTTTAAATCTGTTTAGATTTTATGGCAAATACAAAACTCTCTCAGAGTTGGGTCCTAACTAGTTATTTTTACTCATTGATAGCTTGAGTAACGTTTTTGGGGGGGAAATAAATATATTTGCAAGTAATTTTACTGCATTACAGCTTTTATTTAGTATCTAAATATAAAATATTGCTACTCTTACCTCTGTGAACATTTTGGGTGTTCAACCTGTTGCAAATAGCTTTACTGAAGCATCTTTTAAGCCAAAAATGTACCAGAAACAAGCAGCTTATGTGTGTTACTGTGAACTATATTTCAATTCTGCTGTGGCGAGTCAATACTTTCTCCTGTTCTAAATTATATCACCTACTCAGAGTATTAATTTTATACGGGCAAAGTGTTTCTTTTGTTTTAATTAGTATAGCTGTATTATTAGGAGGTTTTAAAAGTATGTACATTCTTTATTAAGGATTAAACTCCATTAATAAAAAAGTGCACATTCTACATTTTTCTCAAGTACAAAATACATAAAGTTCTGCCTATAACAATATGGAAAAAAAAAAAAATATGCACAGAAAATGGGTAATTTTCCTCTTTTGCTCATTGTGTTGGTAGAAAACTGACTTATTCTATTTTAGTACTTAGTTACGGAACACCTCTTATTATTTATATTTTTAGTCTTTAAAATATCAGAAAATGTACAAAGCTTTTTAACTTTGTTGTGTCTTACAGCATGTATCAGAAATTCTCATCTCTTGTTATAATCTTTTCCTTGCTGGGTAACTTGATGGTTACTTTTTACTTTTACTGGGGGGTGTTGAAGTAGTGCTATTCTAGCGTGAGTACAACTCAACACTATTTAAATGGTCACAAGAGAAGAGCCATCAATATGATGCTACTAACTTCTATCATATGAAAATAGTTTGGTTAAATTCAAGTTCAGGCCTGCAGACGAGCCAAGCTATAGATGTCCTGAAAAACCTGCTGCCATTTGGTTATAATTTAGTGTTAACATATAGTGATTACTATTTATGGGTTTTATTTTATTTTTTATTGTCCTGTAATTTCTTGATCTTTTTTTTCCTTTTCACTGTCTCATTTTCTGCTGGTTTAGCTTCCCTATTTGACCTATTTTATATTTTGTAGTCATTAAATAATGGAGCTTTTGACAATTCTCACATTTCAAAATATACACGTTTACTTCATGATATTGTATTGATTGCACAACTGTGATGTAAAATAATGATCTATGAATGGGGAAATTTTTATAGTGTAATCTGTACTGACTTTGCATTTGGCATATTTTGTTAACTCAACCCCAGACTGGTTAAATGGCTTTTTTCCATCCATTTTTATTCATTTATTTTACTTCAGAGTCGCATCTTTTTCAAATTTAGGAGGAGGGGGGGGGGACCCCCCAAAGAATCAAAAATATAGATATTTCGATCTTGGCAAACAAGTTACATCACTAACCGTCTGGTTCTTGATCAAATTTCTGGCCAAAACTTTAAAATCAGAATCATATATTCTAATTGGATTTTGTAATATATGAAGCACCCGACTAGAATTTCATTTTTCTCAAAAAGTTTCAGGTCCAAGGTCTATAAACCCTGAACTGCAATCCAATAAGAGCAACTAATTGGATTTTGGGTTTAAATGTGAAGCTCCCATTGCTGTGGTCCAGCTCTGTATGACTCACTTTTTCCGTTATTAGCTCAAATTAAAACGTATGCAATTTTCTTGTTCATGGGAAGTTAATCCCAGTGCCAGGGAACCCACGTTTCTCTTAAAAGCACAATTTGGTTAGTAGAAACATCTCATCCTGCAGGAAGCCTTCTATTCAAAACCAGCTTGTCAGGAAAAGCCTGCATTCCAGGTTTTTGTACCAAACCACTTTCTCATGTTCTTACTAGACTTCAACCTCAAATCTCAGTTAAGTTGAAGTAGCCATTATTGGCAGGTAACACCATCTGTATGTAACCTGTGTAATGCCATTAGAATAAAAGAAAACCCATCTACCGCCCCCTAGTGGCGCATAAGGTTTTACCTTACAAATAACATCCTTTAATAAAAAAGACAGAAATATGATTCAAGTCATTAAAAACTTTTAATAATAAAAGCAGAATACAACATAGGGGCGAAATGAACACATACACAACAGTATCGATTCTTAAAAAAACAAAAAGAAAGCCTTAAACGGACGGTAAATTTCTTTTTAGGCGAACAGTCCGTGACACATCCACATGTTAAGTGGAACACATGTTAAGATCCAGGAGGCTCGCATAGAGCCTCGTGGCTGCCCAACACCAGCCCCATAAAACCCTGAGTTTATCATGCAAAAGAGTCAAAAACGACTTTTTTTGCAAGACAAACCCCTATATTCTATGAGAAGCAGGATATCACAGAGCTCACTTTTTACACATGGTTCAATAATACACGACAAAATATATTCACAAATCGTGGGTTGTTAGAGTCCAGAATGAGTGGAACAAAAAGGGACAGATGGGATCCGCGTGGAGGAGGCGGCTTTCATTCATCCAGGCTGGGTGATGGGCTCAGCTCATTACCCAGCCCCCCCACACCGAAGATGATGGTGCTGTAAATGTAAAGTTCGTTTCTAATGTCCCCATGAACATCTTGGCTTTCAAACGCCCTAATAGCCTCCTCCAAATCCACCGCCTCTCACGGCGCCTCCTCCCCCACCTCCTCTGTAGGGAGCCCCGCTACGGTAGGAGTAGTTGCCCCCCTTCATCGCGCCGTAGCCAGACTGCTGCTGTCCGTAGCCCTCCCCAAAGTCTCCGTTGCTGTATCCTCCCCCCACCTGGGTTTCGTACTCGTTGTATCCCCCGTAACCCCCGTAGCCACCGCTGCTATCGTTGTTGTAGCCGCCGCCATAGCCGTAGCCACTTCCGTAATTCCCGCCGTAACCTCCGCCATAGCCGCCGCCATATCCTCCTCCGTATCCACCTCCTCTCCCGCCGCCGAAGTTCTGCATTCCTCTCCCTCGGCCTCTTCCTCCGCGCCCTCCGGTGGTGATCTCCTGCTTGCTGAGGGCCTTCTTCACCTCCACCTTGTTCCCGTTAATGGTGTGATATTTGGTCAGCGCTGCTTTGGTGGCGGAGTCGGTGTCAGTGAAGTAGACGAAGCCGAAGCCCCTCTTCCTGCCGGTCTGCTTGTCGGAGATGATCTCGGATTTCTCCACTGCGCCAAACTGAGAGAAGTATTCGGTCAGGTTCTCAGCCTCGATGTGGTCCTTCACTCCGCCGACGAAGATTTTCTTCACGTTGGCGAGGATGTCGGGGTTGTTGGCGTCCTCTCGGGCTATGGCCCTCTTCAGCTCCACGTTGTTGCCTTCGACGACATGTGGCTTAGCCGCCATTGCAGCGTCGGCCTCCCCCGGTGCGGAGTAGGTTATGAAGCCGAAGCAGCGGGACCTTCCGAGCTGCTGGTTCATAACCACGACACAGTCCGTCAGAGAGCCGTACTGTTCGAAATAGGCTCGGAGACCATCGCTGTTGGTCTCCACGTTCAGCCCTCCAACAAAAAGCTTGCACAGTTTGTCCGTCATGTTGGGTTTCGTCTGGAGGATGGGAAATGGAGACTTTCCCTGTCCTTCTTCAATGAACAACGTGTGGGCATGGCGTTTGACGTCACGGCATGTGATTGGTCGGCCTCCGTTTTTTAAAAAACGTCGCCTCCCACACCGCTTTGATGCCTTTCTGTTCCGTTGATTTTAGCACACAAAAAAAGAAAAAAATCACAATCTTCCGTGGATATTTTGTTTGATCGTCCCTTTTTTAAGAAATATAACCTCAAAAAAGGTTTAACAGCATTTTAACCTTAACGGTATAGATAAAATACTCATTAAGCCAAATTTCTTCCCTGACCTTGAAGGCAACAAACCAGGCTACTTCATTTAGGAAAAAAACAGTTCCACTGTATGATCATAGCATTGAAGGGAAATACTGATTATAGTTTGTACGAAATCTGGGTCAGAGTGTACAGTGCTCATAACATCAAAGACATCTTTAGGTGACAGTAAAGAAGGCAGCTGATTTGATTTATCCTAAACTTTTTTTTGTAGGATAAATGATTAAGGTAGGGCCACACTTTTTTCCTAGATTTTTCTTCTTGGAAGCCAGATAAAATCAGATGGACACAAGATAAGCATCACCATTATGTTTCCCTCCATTTTCTCTATTGTTAAACTAATGTTTAAAGTGGACAAATGTTCCTTGATTTACCAATTGAACAAACTCCTAAATCTGTTTGAAAACATACTTCCCTCTGAAACCATTTAGTAGATAAAAACATCTCAAAAGGCAACCTTTAACTTTTAGAGATGAGAAAGTCTGCATCCATAAATCTGGACTTTGGTCTGGAATGTTGTTCACTTGGGTTAACATTGAATACATTTCCCTCCATTTTACTCTGCCCCAGTTAAACGAATGTCTAAATCCACCAGTCTTATACTTTCCCCGTAATATTACATTTAAAAATATATATTTCCAGTCCAATTATCTGGCAGCTTTATAAATTGTATTACAATAAAACTGGTTTAGTCAGTCTATACTAATCCACATAGCAGTATGCTGCAGGATAAGGTTCATGGTGCACAAGCAGTAACTAGAAAGGGTTGTCATAGAAAGACAATGATTAAAGGGCTCGTGACTGAGTTTGCTGTAGCACCAAGCCAACATATGACCATTTTGAAATATACTATCTTAATGTCAGGGCTTCACAATTTTTTGTTAATTTTAAATATCTATGTAGCCATTTTCTACAGCACCAATGTGTGCAGTTCCATGCACCATTCTTTGACAGATTTAATCTGTGGCCCTTCCTCCCTTTATCACAAGATTGAAAACCCATGGCCCGGTAACCCTGTAATGTTTTAGACTTCTATAGGTGATTGTTACAGAAAAACATCCCTCATATTTTGTTTATATAGCTGGATGAATTTTAGAAGATATTCCTGTCTCCATGCTTTAGTGTAGGCAGTTCTAAAACTACCAACACTGCAATCAGTAATTAAATTGTTGCAGTAAAATCAGCATTCAAAGCTTTTCTACTGGGTTCCCTCTTCAGTAAGGATTTAAGGATCTTTGGAAACATTAACATGCAGTTTTATCTCAACTGCTCATTAACAAACCCATTATTACCCATTTACCTATGACTCAAAATCATACTCCACAAGAGCATTTACCTCCAGACTCAAAGGGTATTGTAGAAAAGTAACAAGTCTTTTTTGTATATCAAAAAATAAATATTTATTAGGCATTTGTTAAGAAAACAGAAAAAAAAAATCAGCCAACAGTACAGAAGCTCCTCATCCTCTGGGATGCACGAAAAAAAACCTACAAGAGAACAATAAAATAAACACCTCTTAAAGTCAGTAACAGTAATTTAACCACTCATTTGTCATCAAGCTGCTGCAGTAGATATTCCTGTTGGCTTCTATGTTTTTACACAGAAGAACCTATGGTTTTAATTAAAAACTGCATGTTTAAGAACTCGGGGTTCACTGCTTTTTAATTGATTTGCAACAAATTTGGAAACAAACTAAATTATAGATTAATCCTGTGTTTCCAGCAGACTGTTAGAAAACAAGCAACCAACATTGATCATTCACCTGGAGGAAAAGAAGGTTCCAGTCCTCCTTGGCTCCCTGTCAGCATGGAGACACACCCCATCGCTTCCAGGGCGAAGCCCCCTCAGTCCAGGTTACAGGGGCAACCTGGAGGAGATTGGAGGGGAAAGAAATAACAGTGAGAAACTGAACCAGAGAAGATCATCCTTCACTCGCTCCACCGACTAGTGAATCCGTGGAACAAACTCCCCCTCCACCCACTTTAGACCAATCAAGCAACAATAATCCCCATTTTACTTAAGTTAGCTACTCATAAACAGACTAGTGGTCTGATAAGATTAAACAATGGTACACTTGTGCACCATCTTAAATATGTTCCATACATTTTTGACCAACACAGAGTGAAGACAGGTTGAATTACATACCTAGTTGGCTGGATGTGGATATCCTAAAGAGATATTTCAGACTCCTATCACAATCGACCCCAGGTAATCAACAGGGTCCTGACGTAGCCTACAAACAAACTGCTACGGCTATTATGGCTGGGATAGCCTACAGGAATACGAGTAAGAACACCTACATGTAGGAATAATCAAAGATAATTATCAGAGCCCTCAGGTCCACATATAGATTATTTCAGTAAAAGAGTAAATAAGTCAAGTAAAAGGCAAGGTCTCACCCTACAAAGCCTACATGCATTGGCTGTGGGTAGACTGCAACCATTTCACCCACCTGAGTAAAGGAATAAACTGTGGAAACGATGTCATGTAACTAAAGAGCAAGGAGATGATCTCATAAACCTGTGAATAAACTTGAAGCCTGGTTAAAGAAGTAAGATAACTAAGCTAAGTGGTATAACGTTTTATTTAAAATGAACATACATGAGCATACCAAAAATGTTCCAACAATAAGGTTTTGTTCTCCAACACATGAAAGTATACAATATACAATAGATATTGCTACAGGTAATGGGAAAAATGAACAATATTTAGACTGAAACTATCAATATGCTTGGAGGGATTTAAAGTACAGAGTAAGAGGAAAGGGAGGAGTCCTGTTTTTTTTTTTTTTTTGGTGCATTTGGATGGTCCAGAAAATTATACAAACTGATGGTAAGAACAAAAAAAGTACATGCTTTCTCATCTTTGTTGAAAAGAAAATACACTAATTTTCCCACTAAATTTATAACAAAATCGAATCCAACTGTTTAAAATGCAAGATATTAAAATAAGAACTGGTCAAGAAAGAAATAATCCTACATCACTTTTCAAACACAACAACTGAACGCAAATTAAAAAAAATAATCCAACTCTAAAGACAACCTCACACTGATGGCGTGGGTACAATAAAAAAAGGGATCACTGTTATAAAGTGTAATTCTTGGATTGTGTGTCCTAGGTGAACAGCAATAGAAGCACTGTTCGGGTGTTCTGGGAAGTGACCTTCCTACCTGTTAGGGGTTCAGGTGGGGGAGGGGTGTCTCTGCGGCTCTGCCACGGATGGGATTCACGACAGACGGCCCCATTCATGACAGAGTTTTGCGACCAAATGGCGGGGAGAAACGTTTCGCTGGAGGCGTGAGTGGGGAGGGTGTTCTCTTTTAGTAGCCGCCGCCACCACCGTAGCCCCCCCTGGGATATCCTCCACCACCTCCGCCTCTGGTGTAGGGAGCAGCGCTCCTTTGGCCTCCGAAGGGCGGCCCTTTCATGGGGCCGTAGCCAGATGACTGCTGGCCGTAGCCGCTGCCAAAGTCGCTGTAGCCGTTGCCACCACCGTAGCCGCTTCCCTGGTCGCCATAACCACCTCCGTACGGTCCACCGTACCCTCCGTAGCCGCCACAGTTGTAGCCGCCACCGCCGCCATTTCCGTAGTTGTAGCTTCCGCCATAATCCCTGCCTCCGAAGCCATCTTGATTCCCTCTCATGCCTCTGCCGGGCCTTCCTCTCGGCGCCATTGTGTTTCTGTTCGCCGCCTGCATCTCTTGTTTCGTCAGGGCTTTCTTCACCTCGACTTTGTGTCCATTAACTGTGTGGAACTTCACCACCACCGCCTTGTCGGCGGAGTCGTGGTCGGTGAAGTACACGAAACCGAAGCCTCTTTTCTTCCCCGTCTCTTTTTCGGAGATGACTTCAGACTTCTCCACCTGGCCGTACTGCGAGAAGTAGTCGGTCAAGTGCTCTTCTTCGATGTCGTCTTTCAGCCCACCGATAAAGATTTTCTTTACTTTAGCCAGAGCTTCGGGTTTGTTTGCATCTTCCCTGGCCACCGCACGCTTCACCTCCACCGCGTTGCCGTCTACGGTGTGCGGCCTGGCAGCCATGGCGGCGTCGGCCTCCTCCGGCGTGGAGTAGGTAACAAAGCCGAAGCAGCGGGAGCGCTGCAGCTGCTTGTTCACGACGACCACGCAGTCGGTGAGCGAGCCGTACTGCTCGAAATGCTTGCGCAGGCCATCGTCATCGGTGTCTACGTTTAGCCCGCCGACGAACAGTTTACAGAGCTGGTCGTTCATTTTGGAAAAATGGGAGAAAAAATGGCGATCAGAAAAAACGGTCTGCGTGTGTCCAACAACGGGTTGATCACAAGATGGCGGAGGAGAAGAACGCAGCTTTATATAAATGAACTGCAATGACGACACAGAAACGACGCCTTTTCCGGTGTCTTTGCGGAGGGGGAGGGGTGAATCGGACATCTTGAAAAATCACGTAATGGCGACAAAGACATTATAAATGCATTTCAAATAAATGGAAGGCGTTGTATTTATTCCGTTGTGGTTAATATCAGTAAGTCTCTCATCCTTTAAAAATGTTAAAGGCGATAAAAGAAAAAATAAGAATAAAGCAGTGTTAGCTTCTAATCATAACTAAAAGAGGTCAAAATATAGCTCGACGCAACGCTTCATAAAGACGTTTGCTTAAACAACTTCTGTAATGTCTTAATAAATGAGGGGATTCATTTTCATTCCATTCGGGGATTTGAAGAATCAAACTTTGCATTTCTAACGATTTTATATATTAATATTAACCTTTATTCACTGAAACATGAAACAAAACCGACATAAAAGAGAAGGGGGGATGGGGTCCCCATGATGGGGACCAACCCCCGCAGAATAAAGGCGACTAATGTCCCCCTTTTCAGGGACACCGTTGAGGATTTACGCTCGTTTCCCATTCTCCTTTAAAAGATATATGTAGTTTAGTATAATACTACATTTAATTCCTTTTTGTCTTCATTGTCCCTGCCTGAGAAAATAAAATGATGCTGCCACCATAATGTGCCATTAAGTGTAATGTGAAATGTTCAGCTATACAATAGAAAATGTTTTGCAAACAGACATAATAAAAGTTCAGTTTTAAGCTTTAAACAGAAACTTCAGCCACGTGTTTTCTGTCTCCCCCACATGGCTGCTGGAATATAACTGCCATGATGATTTCTGACTTTCTATTTGACATAATGAATAGAAGAACAGTTGTGTAAAATGTTTGACTAATATGTTTCCTTGTAGACCCCATTTCCATGTTCAGATAATGAATTGATATTTTTTTAAAGGTTGGGAGATTGTTTTAGAACCTAACCAGAACTTAATTGATTGGTTTGCACACAAATGGACTGATTTATAATTAAATGTTTCAAACTAGATTACTTAAGTGTCTAAATGTAAGATTTTACAGAAAATCCCCTAATATTTCTACAGTTTGTAGTTGTTTTTATTCCTCTTTGTTCCTTAAAGCAAACATGACAAACAAAAACAGCTGTCATATGTGGACGCACTGTATATAGCCCATGCACCTTCTTATTCTCCTTTGATTATTTGTGTTGATGTAACGAGTACATTTCTCCACTGTATAATCAATATGAACAGGTTCCAGATGTATCCATACTTTAGTGAGGTGTTTCACTATGTTTTCCCAATTTATTTAACATGTCATATGAGAACTGTGTCATCCTATATTATCAGCTCTTCAGTGTCTGCACTAAAAACATGTTGACTTTTATGGGTCTGATGCGGCAGTAGGATCGATTTCCACATCAACATACCTGCTGGGACCTGTTTCTATCTGAGCAGCATGCATACAACTGCAGATAAAGACACCAATAGTAGTATGCTAAGCCTCCACAGCTTAGCTCAGATAGAAAGTTAACGTCACACCCTTCAGTCACGTGAGCCAATCAGATTCTGCAAATATGCAAATAAACAAAACACTGAAATCCAAAGTTTGACTAAGATCTTTATGAGACATTGAGCTCTCGAAAACATTCCCGGTTTCTATTCTACCAATACAAACACACATGACAGTTTGCTCCTTCACAGATACACTTCCAGATCACATACGGATACAAATGTGGGCCGGTTAACAAGGAGAAAGGACCAAATAAAACCTGCATTGAATCCGTTTTTTTTTTCTGGGATGTTTTAAACTTGAACATTTAGAAATCAGTAGATGCCGAAGCTAAAAGCTTCTCCTCATCCACTTTACACTATGTACTTAGGTCATGCAGGACAAGAATGATTCATGTACTCAGGTAACTCAAGGTCGTCCCCTTTGACTTTGAAAGGAAAGGCAGCAGTGTTGGATCAACAGTTTTGTTGCGGCTTAAACAGTACCACCATTAAATATCTGCTGGCGCCCCTTAATGCTACACACCTGTTATTGGTGCTAGGTCAACGGTTAGAAAATGAAACCTATAAAAAGCATCAATAGCATATGTAAGTGTAACAAACTAATTGTGAGTAAAGCTGAAGGAAAATCACAGTGAAATGAAAAGTTGATTCACATGAAGAATAAAAACAATTGAAACCAGAGGTTCTTGTCTAGCTAAGTGTCCTGCATGGCAATAGAAACTTTTCACACCTTTACTGAAACAGCCTGCTTTCTCAAAACTGTCAAATCATTACGAGACAACTATAGATATTTGCTAAAATAGGACCTATAGCTGATCAATTGAGGCTGCGTTTCCCAAATATCACTAAGAAGGAAGACACTGATGGATTGTTTTCCATCATGGATCGTAGGACGAGATTGTTTTTTTTTGTTTTGTTTTGTTTTTTTTTACAAAAAAAAAGGGACCAACCCCAAATGTTATAACACTGAGTTAATGTAAAAATAAAAGAAACTATTTGTAAAATGAAAAAAACTCCCAAGTAATCCTTTACAAGTTCTTTTTTATTTGTTGTAGTAAAATCAAACATCTAACTAACAGTTTCCACTCACTCCTTTTGTCTAGACTCTAATGTTCAGAGTAAAGGCCTTTAAGATGATGAAAATGTTGATAGTCCATGTGCTTGAATGGATCAGGTCAAACAACTTCTAGTCACATCTAAACAGTCTGAAAGAAGAGCCCAGTTTCTGTGAGATAAAGTTATCTATTGGTAAGAGGGGGGTTGGGGGATGAAGGGCGCTGGGTCACAGCTCCACTGCTGGTTCTGAGTGGGCCAGGTCACCAATGATGGAGGGCAGGGCCATAACTTGATCTCGTCAACACTGAGAAGCTCCATGTGATCACATGATGTAGACCTTCTCTGCCTGAGAGAAGCTGAAGACCTCTTTGGTTCTGGGACACACAACTTTGTCGTCTTGGCGAATGGACAGCAGGGACTGAGGATATAAAACCAAAAAGAACCAGAGTAGAGTTTCCATGATTTTGTCCAGAATTAACATATGCAACATGGTTTTGTCACGGAGAGGACTTACGTTGTAGCCGTAGACGTATCCGTTAGGCAGCATCATTGGAGGGTTGTTCTCATTCATGACCTCCCCAGAGATCTTACAGACTAGCCTGGAGTTGGCACAGTGAGCCATGGGCAGCGGCTGGGCCAGTTTATTAAGAGATTTACTGCAAACTGGGCAGTCTGGGTTTTTGGAGGAGCCATCCTCCTTGTAGCATTGACTGAAAGGATGAGTTAAGAATGATAAAGAATAACTGGGTCTGCAAAGAGCTTAATCAGATCTGACCTTTCCTCCATCCAGGTCCAGCTAACATCTCTACAGACTGCACATATCCCGGACAATCTCCCAGCTTGATGCAGAGACTTTAGCTCAGGCTGTTAAAGCTCCAGCAACAAGCTGCTTGATCAATCATTATAAATAAAGAGGCTAAATTCAGACATTTATAGGGACAGTTTAAAGAAGTTTGGACTTTTGAGAAGGAGCCCAAAGGTTAGTGTAAATAAAGGATACGGCGTCTTGATGGCTGAAAGACCAGCCTGCAGGGTGATTGTGAAGACAGAATTGTTTCCCAGCTGGTGGAGTCTGTAGTTGTCGTATCGAAACTGCTGGATCAGCATTTTCCAGCGAGCTGGATCCAAAAGATCCTGATGGAAACAAAAAGCCCATGGAGAAGTTTCCCCCATGAGGATAATAAGCCAAATAATTTCTATCTGAGCAGCATGCATACAACTGCAGAGAAAGACACAAATAGTACCATGCACTGCCTCCACAGCTTAGCTCAGATAGAAAGAATGAAAAAACTTGCTAACAAAATAGTCAAGAACCTTCTTAAACACCATTGGGGTAAAGTTAATGTGTGAATCGCAACTTTCAGTTCGGGTTACCCCCGTTTTTTCTTTTCAAAATCGAAAATACTCAGAACAGCCCAAGATGAGCTATTTTATTTTATACTCATGATCCATTTTATAAAAAAAAAAAACAGTTTCTGGTTTATATTTGTTTATTCAACCAGTGAGAAACAAACTGAGGACATTTTTAGGGTGAGGTTCCCGTTGTACTTGGGCAAAAAAACAGGACAAACTTGTTAAACCGTTTCTACAACAAATAGGAACCCTTATCAAAATAAACTACTTAAATATGTCCTATTTATTTCTGCAATCTGAGTAAAGATGACAAAAACCACAAGCTGTATTTCCACTGATCCGTCATGTAATGTGGAATAATTCTGCAATACTTTACTAACTGGACTCAACTGTGTTTCATTTATAAAGAGAATTTTGTTGGATTCACAAATTGATTTAAACTGCAAAATAATTGAAAGGTTTGCTTGACTCCATGTTGTTTTTATTGTAAACTAAACATAATTTAAATGTAGCCTGTAGTTTAGTTAGCTTGGTCTTGTTAAGACAACAGGCGCCATCTGGTGGCTGGAAGATGCTACTTCATATCATCCAGCTCTCCTGTAATCTGCAGTGTAACTGTGACCAAAGTTGGATTATTCCCAGTACTGGTACCTTATATGGGGAGATGTGTGTATCTGATGGGAAGGCCAGCATGCCCATCACCTGCCGGACCTCATCCAGCTGTCCTCCTTCTGCTTGGCTGAAGTGCTTCCTTGCATGTCTGATGTGAGCAAACAGAGACCAACAAACTCAGTTGTGACAGTTTAAATAAATGCTGCTTCTTAGAGGAAAATGAGTGTAAAGTGTGTGTTGAGTTCTGTGTGAAGTACCGGACTGCATCCATACGCTTGTTCTGTCTGATGAGCTCAATGAACTCCTGAATTCTCAGGCTAAACTCCAGACAGCTCTGCAAAATGAAGGGGGAAATTATCTGAACTTTAACCTCTTAAAGTTCCCAAAGCTGCAAGAACCAGACTCTCAAATCCGTTGTAAAAATGCTTTTAGAAAGCAAGCCTGATTGGCTGTAGCTTGAAGTCTGGTGGGTCATTTTTTAACAGAACATCTGTCAAGTGAGTTTAATCTGAATTTGTTCAAAGGGAATCAAATAAATACTTTTTTAAACCATACAACACTGCACTAAATCTGGTTACCTGCACAGAAGGATCTGTTCCAACAGTAGAATGACCTAAAACACCTGAACTGGTTTTAAAGGGCTTAAAGTCAGGCCAAAAAAAAAAAAAAAAAGATTAAAATTTATGTACATAAATAATTAAAATTCCCCAAATTTCTGCATTTATATCCATGATGAGTCTAGGTTCCAGCTTTAAACTCAATTTTACATCAACAAGTTCTAACGCAGGTGTTTTATCTTAATTTTGCAATTGAGATTTTGATTAATCTACAGAAATAACAACAGTGTGAACTTTCAGGAGATAAACATATCCCTCAAGTCAAAGACTATTTATTTAGCCTCTGCTGATGTTGATGCTACTCTTGATGGAACCTGCTCCCTATTCAGAGGAACTTGTCTGTAACATTGGGGCTGAATCCAAAAAGCAGCCCCTGAACACCAACCCTTTGTGCTTTCCCAGAGAGGGTCTGCCCCATTAAGTGCCGTCCAAAATCATGGGAGCCCTTAAATAGTGAGTCTGCATCAGCTGCAGGCTCGCTGGATTAAGCAGCAGGTGTAACGGTGAACTAGTGGTGGAGGAAACACGTGCATTCAAATGTAAGTTCTGCTGGCTGGCTGCAGCTCTATCACAATGACAGAAAATCACGAGTTAGGAAAAAGAAAAAGACATAATTTATCCCTAAAAAGAAATAGTTCTATTTGACTGGAGAGATTAATTTTTAAGAAAATAGAAAATGTTTAATGTTCTTAACCTGCAACACAGAACTACAGCCACACATGAGGTTTCACTGTGTTGCCATAGGAACGACTGCTTTCCCCACTGGTCTCTATTTTCTCACTGGATTGCCAATTGCCAGTTGGTAGTACGGGGTTGAAGTGAAGCCACTGATCGCCATATTGGTACTCCCTAGTTAGATCGGTCACAACGTAAACAATATGTGCGCTACAGCATCGAACAACGATGATGTTGTCATTTTCAGGGGAACTTAAGACTTTTAAAATAAAGATAAATTCCTTACACACTTGCTGTTTCACAGAATAAGTAGATTACTTTAACTTATAATACATAAAATAGGCACATCACATTGCAGTCAAGTCTATAAATCATGTAAAATGACATATTATACAAATTGTATGTGTTAATGGAGCATAATACAGATGTGCCAAATGTGCTAAATTGATTATTTACATTTATTTATTTTATTTTTATGGTAATTACATCTTACATATAATTTTAAGATTTTACATAAAGACTGAATTACAAGTATATGTCTGTTAATGCTTTAGTATTTTTCTATTTGCAAATTGTGCATGCATGATGCCATATACTTTTCTTCATTGTCTGTGCATTAGCCTTCAAATCTGACAGATTTACAATAGAGCTAATTTAATGAACCAATTTAATAACTCCCCAGAGCTCATTTCTACACTAGCAAAATCACATCAATTGGTAGAATAACAGGCAACACCAAGTTCATATTTTGCTTTTTGCTTATTTACAACAAGAATCTGATCATTTGAAAAACAAAAATAATACAAACAAGTATGTATGCACACACTGACACTGAAATTACCTTTGAAAAAAACTTCCCACAGCCGGCAAACTGGTTGTTTTTGCAGCCAAATGCTACACATGTAGACATTTTTTCTGCATATCTCTGTGAGAGTGGGGAGTAACAGCATGGCGGACGGTGGCTTCACTTTTTTCTGGGCAATACGCAATCCAGTAAATAAATAGAGATCAGTGACTTTCCCATTCCATTGGAGGGAGTAGGTCATCCCATTCAGGTTTTTACCCCCACGTACAATCCAGGCACTTTCCACAGCTGTCAGTGTGACTTCACTACGAGTCACACTTGATGGTTAAGGGTTAATGGTTAGGGGGCGGTTTGGGATTCAGCCTGGTTCTCCCTTTCAGATGAATCCTCGCCATCCAATGAGTAAAATAGAGCTTATAATACTTATTTTGTTAGTTAAAATATATCTCACGGTCTGAGAATGAAGGCAATATGGTCCAAATGCTGAATTTTACATACCTTCATCTTGCGGAGGCGGGACTTGTTGTCATGGCACCAGGCCAAGCACGTGGCCGTCTCCTGCCTCTCCAAAGACTCCTCCACCTCCTTAGCTGTGAGGAACATCTCAATGTTCACCAGATCCTAACAGAGGTGGCAGAATTGATCACTTTATATGTAAATCAGAGAAGATACAGAGGAACATATGATAGCCAGGAGACCCTGTGATCACCTCTATACCACTCTGTCTGGCCAACTTCACAGCTGTGTTGTAGTAGCCACAGCGCAGCAGGTGCTCCACCATCATGCGGTCCATGCGTTTCTTCTTCCACAGGTTGACAGAACCAGGCTGGTCGCTGCTGTGCTCCTTAAGGTGCTCGATGCGACGCTTGCAGAGCTTGGCGCTCTCATCTTCTGCTTGAATCGACTCGGCAGCCTTTAGAAAACACAGGATATGCTGGTGATGCTCAGGGCCTCTCCACTACAACATAGCTATTGTTGGAACAAGGAAAGGTTTTAAATCTCCACTGAAGTAAAACCTTGACGACAACCTTCAGGTAGCCATGCATGATCACTGTGTCCCATTTCAAAACAACCTTGAATTCAGGTGAGGATTCAGCTAGGACTGCAACAAAGAATCAATAAAATCGATAAAAATCGATTTTTAAAAGCGTTGGCAACGAATTTTATCATCGATTAGTTGTGTCGCGCGATTAATGCGTCCCCCGCCGCCGCCGTCATCACATCCACTTGACTGAAGAAGAAAAAAATACGGCAGAGCGAGCCAGCGCCGCAGGTGCAGTGTTGCCAACTCAGCGACTTTTCAGACCCCTCCAGCGACTATTTTTCAAAAAAGCGACTAGCGACAAATCTAGCGACTTTTTACGGTGTCACTGGCGGCTTTTGGAGACTCTTACGTGAAAGCATGTATCGTTCCTACTCTGCCGTGGGGCGCCTCCCCCATCCCAACCCCGCTCTCTCTCTCCCGCAGGAGTCCCTCTCAGCGCTGCAGTCAGAGGATGTTTACCCTCAGCGTCCAGACTGCAAATGAAGCGCGCATGCGCCGGGATTGACGGCGCAAATTGATCACAATAATTAAAATAGCCTGCGCTTTGTAAAGTGAAAAAAGTCGTAACATGCAACTTGTGTCAAAACAAATTAACATGGCACGGAACCACCATGTTTGTTTCATTTTAAAGTGGGGAAACGTAACGTTAGTTTCTCAGGTAGCTCATCTGATGCTTTCCTTACCGTGTTAGTAGGTTACAGACAGTGATAAGGTTGGCTACTTATTTTACTTTTAATTTCATTTGAATTAGCTTAAGCAGCGTTTATATTTACTTTATAAATAAATGAACTTGCAAATTATGAGGGCAAGGCTTTTAAAGTTTAAATCTTCTGGCAAAAATAAAGTAAAGATCCTGCAATTTATGGAAGTAAAGCAGAATAAAATCCAGCAAGATCAGTAATATGTCAATTAATTATATTTGCCACATTCCCATGTAAATATCTGTCTTTGGAGGATGTGTTTTTAGCACCCCTAGTTCTCTCATTTTTGTTCCAAATACAAATTATAATTTGAATCACAGGGCTATTTTTATCTCTATGGTTAAGTATTTTCTCAAGAAGCAACTTTAACTGCTATACTTTCCTGTCTTAAAAGGCAGAACTCTTCTAGTCTAAAAAAACTCATTTGTTGAAATGGGGGGACCTATTGTTTAAACCCCTTAGGGGCTTTTAAATACAAAAATGTCTTTTTTTGCGCTTTATGAAACAAAGTACCTTATATTTTGTGGATATACAGCTACATTTCTCATGTAAGTTTGCGTAGTTTTAACACAAACATTTATTTTTCATATTGCACCAGTACAGTTAATAAGCAACCTGTACTTGTGTGCTTGTTTGTTCTGTCTAAAATGTTTATTTTGGAATAAAGAGGTTAATATAAAAAATATTTTTTGTTCGATTCATCGATTAATCGAAAAAATAATCGGCCGATTCATCGATTTTTAAAATAATCGTTAGTTGCAGCCCTAGATTCAGCATTTAAAGCCTCTATTCTAATTGTATTTGCTTATTAACTCCACACTGAGCAGAAGATAGTTTCCTGTTATGACCAATGGATCAGTCTGACCATCCTCATGGGAACCTGACATAAAATTTCCTACTTGCTGTTGATTTTTTGTGAAAAAAGTTTTCATTTGTAAATCTGTAACAGGTGAAAATGAATAAGTTTTTTTTATAATTCACAGTGAAAATGACATTAATCTGGACATTAATCTTATTTTTTTATTCTGAGCTTTCAAATCTGAATAAATGAGCAGCAGTGGTACAAGTATTGTCGGCCATTGCAGCAACATGAACATAAATATCTACTTCTAGTTGCGTGGAAAGTGGTTTAATAAAACAAGTTTATAGTCAGAACAAAAATATATAGAGCTAGAGGGAATAGAGTGGTTTTTTACTTTGTTAGATTTACATAACAACTATTGTGATACTTTAGAAGTGGTGCTCATCTTCGTTAGCAGCTGTCTCACCTTCCTCTTCAGAGCACTGAGCTTCTCCACCACTCCATCCAGCAGTGACACCACGGAGTCAACCACCGGGAAGCTGCTGAGGGTCTTCTCCAGCTCTGCAACCACCATGGTGACGTGACTCGTCTCCCGGTCGATGTTCTTCTGGGCCGCTCGGAACCGTTTGTTCAGAGTCTCGTACGGCACCTGGTGAGACAACGCTACGGTGTGGTGAAAGTGGACTGAGTTCAGTTTAAGGCTGCTGTTTTGATGAAGTTTTAAGATTTTGAAAAAAGAATCAAGCCACAACCACATTTTGAATCATATAAATAGATTTTTTTTTCAGGAGATCAGAAGACATCTTTATGTCAGAGTCTGTCAGATCAAGCTGAGGCAAACCGCCCCACTTGAAGGACGATGATAAAAAGTAATTCTACAGAGGTAAAAAGCCAACAAATAAATGGAAAATAGAGAATCAATACAGTAGATGTGCAGAGAAGCAGGACGAAAAAAACAGCCAGTCCTCCAATCAAGTATATTGATTTATATTATTTAATACTTAAAGAATTTTTGTGTATTTTTAATTTTTTTTTATTCCATTTTTTTTTTTTTTTTATATCCAAAATGACTTTGTCTAATCCATGTTGTATAGCTAGTAGCATGTGGCCGTTTCTGATTAAGCCGGGAAGCTTCTTTTCATTGCAGCCTCTGATCCACTGACGGGATTCTTCCCCTCAAGCTGGACTGACTAGGAAATGCACCCTTAGGAGGAAACACAGTTTATTAGGATTTCAGAGATCTGTTCCAAACTCCGATGGCAGAATGGGACCTTATGTTTCACATGTTGCGTTATTTTCTGAGGGCAGAGACCTCAGCTCAGACGTATGGTGTTTACTGGAAGAGAAAACGGCCTCCCAGATGGATTCCTTCGACCATGCTTCTATTTAGACAGGAATCTGTTTTCCTAGAAAATATCCAACTGTCTTAACTGTTCCAAAGGCCTCCTAGAATCTCCTTCTCACCTAAAACTGGAGTGACTGGGTTGACAAGAACCATCTGCAGAGATGAAACAGGATCTCACAAAAAATGTCAAGAAAAGCCTGATCCAAAGTGACCAATAACTAAACTCACTTTACTCATCTTGACTAATGAAAATTATTCTCATCCTCTAAGCTCAACATTTCTGAAATTTGGTTCCAAAGTCTGAGAATCAGGATATGCATGTCAAAACAATGAATCTTTTTGTAAATAAAGCTAAAAAATTCTGACTGAAAATTGATCAGAACAAGGATCGGATACATTAACCTATTAAACATGTAAAAGAATCTAAACTCTCGAATAAAGAGATGAGAAAGGTACCGATTTGCAGCTGTAGCATAGTTTGTGATTATTAATTATGTCAAATAAAAAAAATAACAGTTTGTACAACATCTGTTATGTAACAGGTTAATGTTTCACCTACCAACTTAAACCGTGTGGGAACAAATGGATAATCCACAACTAAGTGGAAAATACAGCCGTTATTATTTAGATGTCCGACTGTTATTAATTATGTCCAATTAATCAATGAGTCCCACGTAGACAAAAGCAGATGACAAGAAAATATATTGTAAACTAGACATATAGTAGCTTTAAATTGGCTTTCAGAGAAAAGCAAATTTTTAGATTTAACGAATGCTTAAAGACATGATTATATCTTTATGCAAAACACATAAGATGAAGCCTTTTGATGTCTCAATCAGAAAACTCCGACTCTAGAAGGATTTAAGAGAGTACAAAAACCCAGAAGCATCTGGAAATCACAACCATGCCCCTAAAATTAGTCTGTAGGTGAAATCTGTGTGAGATTTGGGGCTCAAGAGTGGATCAGAACATCCAACAGGTCCAATATTAAGCAGACATAAAGCACAGGTCGCCATAAAGTTATTACTGTAGGAGAACAAGACTTTTCCTGTTTCTGAATTAAAATGTAAACAGGAAAAAACCCCAAAAAAGGAAGAAATTATTCTTCCAGTTGCTCATTGATACAAGCAGTTATATAGAGCATTTTATCATTATTCAGCTGATACAAAGTTGACTGTGTTGTTAAATGTTTTCCAGAATCTGTTAGGAAATCAATTCAGCATTCTGAGTCTATGCCCAAATGCTGCACGACCTCTGAAGGAGGAAAAAAACAGATTTTATAGAAGAGAACATTTGTTACTTACTGTACACAAAAAAAATTACAATTAAACACAGAAGTTTTATTTAAAATATGAAATATTCTTAACGGTGCTTTGGTTCAAGTTAAAATGTTGATTACTTTTCAATGGGTATATTTATTTTTCTACTGTAACAAACATGACCTTTGGGCTGAGCATTAATTGAAGAAAATCAATTAACTGACAGCTATTCCCACTTCTATAAAAGTTAAATATTTATCCTTTTGTGGAGTTGATGCAATCAGCTGGATTTCCTTAGATAGAAAACTATGAACCAATCTGACTGTATGATTTGGTTGAATCGTCTCTATAAGGTGCCTTCGATGACATGCTGTGAATTGGCGCCATATAGACAAACTGAATTGATTTGGTAAAATCTTTGCAAATATTTTTGCGAATGAATGAATTTAAAAAGGTTCACCTATTGTTAGGATTATTTTGTTTTATCGATGACTGTATTATAGTATTATATAGCATATATGATATGCTTTATGAATGTACTATAAATTGAAGTATATGAATCATTTCCAGGATTTCATGATGTAGGTGTCTTCCCTTTAAATCTGCACACATAAGCTCGGGTATTATTATCAAAGGGTTTCTTTATTGCTCTTTTGATTAAACCATAACTAAAACGAGGACATAAAAACCCAGCAGCTGATGAATTTAGTTAATAATGGAGGCATCATGTTACAGATGATCCTCTTCAGATAGAACATCAGCCCTGTCCCAAAATGGTGCCCAACACCTTCCTGCAGCAGAACCATAGCGATGCTTTTCTCCACAGCCTTTTTTCATCACCCTGGTAACATTTTACCCCCTCGGTTCCGACCCAGATGCTGTCATTCAGCTGATACTCACAGTGTCCCTGGACACACCGGACCGGGAGCCCGTCTCCTAACGGTGTCGCAGTGATGCTGAGTGGGAGAATGGAGGAGCAGTGCGTGTGTGCGGCAGCCGGCTGGGATTTCTCCCACTGGCCATTTTGAAGCACAAAGAAGCGGCAGGAATCTGATGACTCAGGAACCCCCAACCATCCATAAACTAGCCTCCTCATTCCCTCCCAATCAGCACCACATACCGGCATTTAACAGCCACCGGTTTGCCTCCACTGATCAGAGCTAACGTTAGCAGGCTAATCACGTCTGCATCCTGTCATTTCTTCCCCGAAAGGTAGATCAACCATGTTGTTTCTGGTTCTCGTAGATATAACCAGAAGCAAAACGGATTAATCCGAACCAGGTAGAAAAGCTATCAGATACTTTCACATTTTATAAAAGAATCCACACCTTTTTCCCTAGTTATTCCAAGAAAACCATCCTGCAAGCTTTTTTTTTTCTTTTCTCACGGATCCAGTTAGTCAAAAGCAAGCTCGATTTTAATCTAACAACTATGCACTTTTGTAAGGATTCGGTATAAAAAATCTTCGAACTAAGAAGAAAATCGCCAAATACCCCAAAAATGGTGTTGACACTTTAAAATCCTTCTTTAAATCCAGGAGGTTGGTTTTCTGGTTGTGCTAGTTTAGCTAACCCCAGCCTCCCTGTAATGTTCGCCGTAGCAGTCTCTAATTAACCACTAATTATCCTCCTTTAAACAGATCTGGACGTTATGACGGTGTAGATTAGAATAGGGGATTGACATGTTACAGTTTGTGCTGTGTTTACCTTTAGAGTGGGATATTCTTGGACTTTCAGAGCCATGGACAGCTGAGCTGCTGTCTCCTGAACCGCCATCTTGGTTTTGTGATTTTTCTTGTAGCTGTTTTTGTTGTTTTTTTCGCCTTCAGCTCAGAATGGTATCAGTGCCTCACTATCGCCCCCTAGTGACACGGGGGCGATACTCAACAAGGAGATGTTAGGTTTTTTGTTGTTGTTTTTTTCCTCAAACTATATTTATTCAAATTTTAGCAGTTTAAACAAACATCTTGAAAAATATACAAAATATGATCACAGCAATAGTAGCGTTACTGTTCAAGTCAAAATAAATTAGAGACAACAAATTGCCTCACTCTATATTGGTTCCAATTCGACTGATCACATTTCGTGCTTAGCCTCTTATACTGATAATTAAATTTGACAGTATATGTCCTTCAATAAATTGTCTTTGGGAACTGCAGTTCTTTTTTTTTTCTCCATTACTGGCACCATCTTCTGAGATATTCAAAGTCTTGACATAATTAATGAAGGAATTCCAAACAGATTCAAACAGGTCCTGTTTGTCCTTTAATATATACATATTTTTTTTCCAGAGGGAGGACAAATAACATTTTTTTGTTTTTGTTTTAGTCCTTTTCCGTGACTCCCGATCTCACACAGTGGCTTCAAAAGTATTCATGACCATGGACTTTGGATAGGCCATTCTAGCCCATTAACCTGCTTCATTTAAAACCATTTAACCAATTAAATAAAATTTATGTATATAGCGACAATTCACAAGACAAGTCATCTCAAGGCGCTTTACAGCCATACATACATACAGTCAGGATAAATCGTACCCCTGACTGAATGTTTAGGGTGACTGTCCTGTTGCAAAGTGAATCTTTATTCTGAAGTCTTCTTCAACCTCTAACAGGCTTTCGTTTGGATTAAACTCCATCTAACTTCCCATCACCTCTGACCAGCTCCACAGGCCCATGCTGCTACCGCAGTGTTGTGAACGGTGTGTTCAGGGGCATGTGGAGGACAAGTCCTCAACCACAGCCTCTGTTTGTGGTATGTCGCACAACACATCTGCTGTGACACATATGGCTGTGGTAAATTGTAAACACATCCTCTAACACATCTACCCATAAGATGGCATTTTTATTTCTACTTAGATGTGTCGTATTTGTATTTACCTGCTTTCTTGTTACCTTTTTATTATCATTTCTAGTTTTTTTGTATCCATTGTACGACACTCTGATAAATCTGTGGTTGTTGTAAAGCACTTAATAAATGAAATGTGTCTGGCTGATCTTCAAATTCCTTTCTTTTAACACAGTTCTTTTTCAGCCACAAATTAAGTTGAATTAACAGATTCTACAACCTGAGCTGTTGATCTCTACAGCTCCTCCAGAGTTGCCCATCTTGTTAGCTGGTTCTTTGAATAATCCTCTCCTTGTCCAGTCTGTCAGTTTCTCTAGACTTCCATGTTCTTAATGTACAATGCCAAATCCAAATGTTTTTTTTTCTAGATCCATATGAGGATGCACTGTAAATACCCCATGCAACTTTTCCTCCTTTCCACACCTTCTTTTAACTATTGAGCCGATGTGACAAGTGAATTTCTCCATTCTGAGATCAATAAAGTGTGTCTTATATCTTGTTAGGTCTGCAGTTGCTCCATCTTCTTACCGTCGCATATCTATCAAACCTCTGAGACCGTCACAGAGCAGCTGCATTTAAACTGAGATTAAATGCCCTAACAGGGGGGATCTCAATAGGGATTTCCAAAATTCTTGGAAACGACAGTGAAAGTATTTTAAAATCTAAATCCACTTGGAGGTACGAATAACTGTAAAATCCCCAAATCAGAGAGGAAGAGTCATTGGATACAGATCGATCCAAACATTATTGTGGGATTTCATAAATATGAAGCCAAATGAAATGACCCTGCACAGAGACTCACTATTGTAATAAAGTGAATCTGTTGTGGAATCTCCCCTCATCGATCATGGTCACATTTAGGTCAGAGACCCTCCTCTAGCTGCAGGTTCCCACCTCCTATTGGTCAGTCTGAAAACCAGTCAGCACTGATTGGCTGGAACCATATTTAGTCAGTTATAACTGGCATAATTTTCTCTGCATGTTATGTCCCCTTGGCTCCAGAGCAAAGTGGAGCAGTGCTCTCAGAGAGGAAGGGGATGCAAGGTTTTTCATGCATTTTATGGATCATTAGGGAAAACTGCTTCTAGTATAATCTGTTGGGAGGGTTTAAATGATAAAAGTCTCTATGATTACACCTCGTTTTGCAGCGTGTTTCAGCTGCTGACATGACTCTGAGCCAAACTAAACTGGGTGGAGGGTTACTGTGTGAATGCACACTCTGATTCACTGCATCCATATGTACATAGACTGCAGTTTGGTTTGCAGAAAAAAAAAAATCAATTTAGTATTCTTATAAATAAGACCAAACCCAACAGGATAAAAAAAAAAACAGTTTAACCATGAATGCATTTTTTCAAGGGTAGCTTTTCATTTTTCCTGCAACTTATAAAAAACAAATTTATTAAGAACTGTATTTTGTTTCACTAAAATGAGTAATTTTTAAAAAAGAAAACTGAAAACTATTGCACTTGAAAGACTGTTTAATGCAGTTTTCACTTTTAGCTCGTTTCAAATCCTGTAAAAACTCAAATTACATTAAAGTAATGCCAGAAAAACAATTTTAGTTAATTTAAAAGATGCATCATAAACAGTGAAATTAAGTGTCCAACATCACATGCATTCAACATTTAGAGAGACAAACATATATTGGCCACATAAAGCTGGTTTAACCCCTCAACATTAATTTTTAATTAATCCTAATAGGGGAATTGACTCAGTTTAAATTATTTCTTCACCACATCTGGAGTCAACAGCTGCATCAGTGCTTCTCAGTCAAATGTTAACTTAAAGTGTGTTTTCAGTTCTTACAATAAGCAACCACATTCTATTTGACTGTTAAAAAAATATAAATTAGAATCAAGTAAAATAAACCCACAATAAGTTAATTTACAGAAGGAACAGGTATTAAAAAGGCAACTGGAAGAATAATTTTGAGTATATTTAGGAGCTATACAGGAATCAATTGTCCCTCTATGGGGCTCCATCTAAAACTAAGTAAAAAGAGGGCTTAATGTTTGGGTTTTTCATGCCCAAGGTGGGACAACATATTTTGTCAGAAATCCAAATTGTATCTTCATAGATTCAGTGCTAAAAATCACAATATTTTGTGGCAAACTTTCTGGCTGCAGCAAACCCTGGAAAAGCACTGAAGATATTTAACCCTTTAAAGCCTCGATTGTTAAATAATAATTGACAGAAAATGCAATTTCCTCTATTAGAGTTGTCAAGTCACTTTCTGACAAATGAAATAAAAAAAAAAATACTTTTTGAATAAGTTAAATTAGAACATTTATTTGCATCAATTTTGATACATTAAGCATTTCTATATAATCTTTTACACATTTTCTGTTTACTACATGTGTCTGATTGGGTAAGTCTGGGTTTTCAAGCACAAAAAACATCCCAATTATGATACAGAAGTCTTAAAAACTCATGTATTAAATGTGATACACTTGACTTTAAAGGGTTAAAAAGGAATTTCCTCTCCTCTGTGCTGCAGCAGCTGTGAGGTTGGTCCATCAGTTGCTCTCCTCTACTGATACAACTTCTTCAAGTCCGGACAGGAAACACCATTTGTTATGGAAATCTCTGAAGTTTTCTCTCTCTGGTTCTTTTTCCTGAGAAGGGATCACTCGGGACAAACTCTTTAAATAAGACTTCATAATGTATATGTTTTAAATAACCATGAGACATGACAACATGATTTTGACATGAATTGTAATCTTACTCAGATCAGAGAAGTTGTATAGGGTTACAGCATCTCACTTTAATAATCCCAGAGGGAAATTGCTTTTGTTACATGTTCCAGTTACAGTTTTATATGTATATACACACATCCAACTACACAATATAATAAAGATAAAAAATAAGAATAAAAAGATAAATATATACACATCTAGCTCTTCTGTGTACATCATAGATGTTTGCAGCTGAGGAGACATCCATGGTTCTAGTCGTATCAAAATATTACACATTGTTCTTAGGTCAAGGACAGCGCTCTCATTCCATTCCCAAATCTATGCCACATCCGTAATAAAGAGGATAACTGCATATCTGGAAAGAGGAACTGTCCCAATTAAATAAACTGACCCCAACAGGCAGGTAATATTAGGGTTTAACAGATTCACACATAATTAAATATAATAATCCTAACAATCTTTACAGAGTTTCATTATCAATGACCTCTCTTCTTCCTTGAAGAACAAATATTTCCTACCACATTTTCTTTAGGCTGAGAGATTTACAAGATTTTCCGCTGATAATAGAATGCTAAAGGTATTACAGATGCTTTTCAAAGTTTTATCATTTTGAGATTTTAATTTCTCCGTTGCTGAATCTTAAAGCGTTGAAATATTCCAGGTATACATCTATATCCTAAATAATATTTGGTCATAATGTTCAAGGTTGGTGAGCTGTGACATCCCAGGTGTCTAGACTCACTGGGAAGAAAAACAGTAAGAGCTTTGTTAAAGCAACCTTGAATTGTCTTATTTATTTAAAAAAAAAATTGACAAAATTTTTATTTTCAGCTGTCATTAGATTCAGTCTATTTACTATCTGAACGCTAACATAAGATGTTTAACCTTGTTTAAAATCTCCCTATATTAGTGCTATGAAATATTACATGATATAAAGTTGTTTTACACTGACTGTATGAGATTATAGAAAACTGATTATACCAAAGTAAAAGCTTCAAAGCAATTGTGTTAAAGCTTTGTTGAGTCTTGAGTTCTATATTTCCTCAAATAGTGGACATGAATCCTGTCCCTCCTTCTTATCTTCTGCCCTTCTTCTTCTCAATATGTTGCCAATCCCTTTGTCTCTCATATCAGACTTTTGCTTCCTCTCCTCTTCCTCCCTGCCTTCCCTCCTGCAAGAGGAGACGCCTCCCCCCTACAGCACATTAGATATCCACGCTCTGCAGTATCTGTAAAGGCATCCACATTGTTCTGCAGTTCAGCGTTGGTATCCATAAATCCAATTTGCCTGGTGTGTTTGGCTGTTTGAGACTCTGGCATGTTGAAGTTGCACACACATGCATTCTTTTGCATTCTAGTGCAGACTCCTGGCTGCAGCATCTTGCGTATGTAACTGTATTTCAAGTTGCACAACAATGTATCAGCTTTCTGTGCAGCTGCTTCTGGGGATGCCTGTTCTGTTGTGCAGACTCACAGTTTTAATTACTTGTGTGGGTGTGGGTGGGTGATAGCTCCAGGTCTAACTGGCTGTCGGTTCTGATAAGGCCGGCGGTTTGGAGGCTGCTGCTGAGTGTGGATCTACTGAGAAGGAGCAGAACCATTAGACACGCTGCAGTGCCTACAGAGAGGGGAGAGAAGGAGGGTGGAGATGGATGATGAGACGGAGATAGGGAGAGGTTTGGGGGAAAGTGGGATGGAGTGAGACTGAGACAAGAAGGGAAGGAAGACAGAATGGTGGGAGCAGCAGGTGAAGGTGTGAAGATGATATGTTGGGGGAGGAGAAACTGAGTGAGAACAGGGAGGGACCTGAGTAACCTTACATGTTAAAATCAGGGTTCGGTGCTGCAAAGACATAAACACTTTATTGTCTCCAAATAACACTAACAGCAGAAAATAAGGTTTCATTTTAATGAGATTTGATTTAGAGATCAACAGGAAGTGGTGCATTATTTGGGGAGAACTTTGTCAAAACTGTTTGTTTGTTTTTTATCTACATATATGCATGTTTTAGAAATCTATTTAGCTTTGATAGTCGCCTTTAGCTCATCTGCATTGTTGGTTCTGGTGTCTCCAATCTTCCTCTTGACTCCGTAGATTCTTCATGTGGTTCTCCAGGGTCATTGGGTCGGTACCGAGCTTGTCAGCAGAAGTAGGCGATCTGAAATATCAGTAGATCCCTTTGTTGACTGCAGAAAATCCAGTCGATCAGAATCAGTAGATGACTGGTTCCCTAAATCCTCACTGACAGGAAACTTCATGCTGGGCTTGAAGAAACACTGATTCTGTTTTTTTTCTCCTTTATTTAACCAGGTAAACCCCATTGAGATTTGGATCTCATTTTCAAGGGGGACCTGGGCAGAGATCCGCAATACACTGCAACCTGGTTACAAAAAAAAAAAAATTAATACATATGCACAAATATAAAACAATAAAAAATTCTTAAAAGCAGTGACACTGTTTCATAGAAGCTTGTTGTCTATCTTTACGAACCGCTCGAAATAAGTCCAATGAAATATTGTCTGACATTTTGAGCTCAGACTGGAGCTGATTCCACGCTGTAGGAGCCAACACACCGTATGCTTTATTTCCTTTATCAGTTCGAAAACAAAGAACATGTAGAAGAATAAAGACATTTGAGCCTAAAAAATGTGGACAACTAGATCTATGCAAAAGAGAGCTTAAGTATGTTGGTGTTAGTCCAAGAAGAGATTTATATATTAGGATCATCAAATGATTGTTTCTCCGAACACTTAAAGGAGGCCAATCAGTTTTTGCATACAAATCACAAGGATATATCAAACGTCTACTACCAGTTATAAACCTTAAAGCACAACGTTAATCTCAAATATAATTTAAACTTTTCTTTATCGTTAAAGAAGACTTTGGATCGCTGAGTACCATTCTGGTTCTCGTTCTCCTCAGTCTTGTAGGACTCTAGTAGTCCATGTGTTGGACCGTCCATGCCTGGTGGATCTTGATTTCCTCCTATTGTTAAGTTTCCCTATTACAATCTTCTTGACAAACCTTTCAAAACTCTACTTATCCCTTATGTCGGTGAACGTTTTCCTGCCACAGTTTACCAGCCACTGAACTTTCTATTGTTAGATACAGACCTCTTTGAACAACCAGCTACTTTAGTGATGACTGTTAGGAGGTTTTTCTTAGAGGAGAGGTCATTGACTGTCCTCTGGGCACATGTCCATTCAGCAGACGTCTTCTCCAAGATGACGTCTCCTACTGACCCAGACTGAGACCAATTAAAGCCTCAGAAAACCACAGGCGTTTGGAGTTTATTAGCATTAATTAGGCAGAAGCCAAAATCTCCCATTTTTCCCTAGGCTGGTGAAGGCATCACCTGCGGTACTCTGCCTCTAATTGGCTAATACTCACAGTCTCTACTGATTACATTGGTTAATTGTAGACATGACGACCAGTGAGCCAATCGGAGGCCGATATGGGAGGTCCATGCTGAGGTCAATATTGCTCACATAATAAATAACATTAACAAGTTTACTTTGATTGATTTGCCTTTAGGATTTGAAATGAATCGGTCATATGAAGCCAGCTAGTCAAACAACACTTTTTTTTCTCTAATTACAAACGTCCTCGTGAATGAACATTAGCCAGCAGTTCAGCTAATGTTAGCGATGCTAAACCGTTAGCCTAACGTCGAGGCCCGCTCGCCCGCCCATCCCTGTTGGACAAGATGTTGGCTCCTTCGGAGGACGCAGCTGCTGTCAGTAAAGAGGAAGGGGCCCTTTGCCAAAGATGGCGGTAGAACTTTGGAGGAAGACGTCAACTATGCTAGGTGCAGGTGGGTTATTTTTTTGTTCTACCTCGTAAATAATAATAACATGTCAGGGCGGGAGACAATAAATGTATCTTTTATGTGGAATATATATATGTGTATATATATATATATATATATATATATATATATATAGTCATGTACACACACATGCATATATATTTATTGAATCATTTGAATAACTCCAATCACCATATGATATACGTCATCTATATCTATCTATCTATATATATATATATATATATATATATATATATATATATATATATAGACATATTTGTATATATACACTCATATAGGCCTATATATATTTGCTCATACATATATATGAGTTATACTATAATAGTTTATTTCAATTTTAAAAGTTTATCAACTTTTCAGTTTATCCGTCTGGTTTTAATGCATTTTATTTTTAAATCTAAGAAGAAATATGAGCAAGGATGTCAAGTAAACATGTTTTATTTAAATAAATGTTTAGAAAAATAACTGAAACAGTATGATCTGTGTTTTATATCCATGCAGGCTGTCTGTGTGACCAGTAATACCAACAAACTGCTCCTGATTAAGTTAGGTTAATTTTAGCGGCCCACTCTAACTGTTGCATATCAGCTGTTCAAAGAGACCGTTTGCAAAAGAAACTACTGACTTGCTAAGTGAGAGAAAAGGTGTCATCCATGTGGATGTAATAATTGTCTCTCACTAGTATGTGGGACAGTGTTTAGTTATTTCATAATCCTACCTCCCTGACATCAAATTGCAGAAATTAGATAACATTAAGTAAATACTACAAATGAATTTTTGGATAAACAACATAGAGCGGTTTTACTTGTCCTTGTTTCTGGGCTACATTAAAAAAGATTGAGAGTATACCCACTTCTCCAGGGACCACTACACTGCTGTGTACCACAGTATGAGCAGGGCCACAAATCTGCTTTATTCATGTAAATGCTTCATAAATTCAATCATATCTAACCCTATTTTCTGATTTGTTCTTCATGGTTACCATTTAGGGGTGATGATCTTCAAGATAAGTGACATCATCAGAACCAGTTTTGCCTCTTTTTACTCCCTCGTTATTGCTGAACTCCACTCTGTTCCTTTTTGTCGTTTTTCAGGAAACAAAAGATCAATTTTGGCCCTTGTTGGCTCCTCCCCACACACACACACACAGCCTGCACTGTGACTTCCCCATCCATCTCTTTTACCCTTCCATTCCCATGAATGCAGCACTTCCTAAACTCTCTCTGTATGCTTTTTCTCTTCTTTTTCCATATGTGTGATCGAGGCTGAAGTAGGGAACGGAGAGGAGAGATTCTCTATGGCAGAAAGTGAGGAAGGAAGGGGAGGGAGGGAGGGGACGGAAGGGAGGGGAGCGAGAGAAAAAAGGGGGAGCACATGTGTATGCTTGTCACTGAGGGGCTGGGAGAAGGACTGAGGGAAGTGAGGTAGCTGGCCACAGCCGCCATATGCTGACTGGATTCCTGTTCATGTGTGTGCAGAGTGCTGGCCGGCTGGGGAACACGCCATGGGAAGCTCACATCTCCTCAACAAAGGCATGCCTCTAGGTAAACCAACAGCGCTCTGCTTTTATGTGCACAGATATGTGTGTGTGTGAGTGAACTGGTTGTACATTATTCTACCTTCAGTTCAGTCTCCCCTCCCCCTTCCCTCTCTTTTTCTGTCTCCTCCTCCTCTCAAGTCTTTCTCACACTGTTATCTGTTTTATCGCTCACAGAAAGGGAACGCTCGGCCTTTTCTCTGAAGCCCTCTGTGTTTGTGTGTGTGTTTGTGTGTGTGAAGGGAAAATCTATCTATTGAAGGCTGCTCCACCACCTCCACTCAAAGCGACAGAAATAGATCTCTCTCTCCTTTGAGGGCTAGCAAGGACACATATTTCCCTCTCATTGGGCTTCTTTTATGGAGCGTGCTTCCCTAAAGTGCACACGCTTACGGTCTGCTCGGACTCACGTGCACGTGAACTCCACTGGCACATGGATCCAGGCACAACCGCGCGCTCTGACGTTTACACACAAGTGATAAATGCACCTTGTGATGGTGGCTGGAAAAGACTATTCTAGAAATCCTTGGATCAAGGTAGGGCTGCAAGGAAATCGGTGGAAGGTGGGGGTCGGTGTGAAGATAAATGATCAAAGCAGGGATCTCTTCGTCGCATCAGAGTTAAAGCATCAGATCTACTTTTAACTGCCTCCGTCTATCGGTTTTGAAAAGCACCTCGCCAAAAATAGCCCAGTGTTGCAGGAGAAAGAACAAGGAGTGATGGTTTAGGAAGACGTACGTGTAAATCAATCTGATCCAGTCATGGTGTTTGTTTCTACCGGAGAAGATGTAGGTATGATCTGTTCTCGGCCTGATCTCCATGGGGGACAGGTTTGATCCGACTGCAAAAAGATCAAGACTGACAACATACAGGTGCTGGTCATAAAATTAGAATATCATGAAAAAGTAGATTGATTTCAGTAATTCCATTTAAAAAGTGAAACTTGTATATTATATTCATACATTACATACAAACTCATATATTTCAGATGTTTATTTTGTTTAATTTTGATGATTACAAATGACAACAAATGAAAATCTCAAATTCATCATATCAGAAAATTAGAATATTACTGAAGACCAATAAAAACAAAGGATTTATAGAAATGTTGGCCAACTGAAAAGTATGAACATGAAAAGTATGAGCATGTACAGCACTCAGTATTTAGTTGGGCCTCCTTTGGCCTGTATTACTGCAGCAATGCGGCGTGGCATGGAGTCGATCAGTCTGTGGCACTGCTCAGGTGTTATGATAGCCCAGGTTGCTCTAATAGTGGCTTTTAACTCTTCTGAATTGTTGGGTCTGGTGTATTGCATCTTCTTCTTCACAATACCCCATAGATTTTCTATGGGGTTAAGGTCAGGAGAGTTTGCTGGCCAATTAAGAACAGGGATACCATGGTCCTTCAACCAGGTACTGGTAGCTTTGGCACTGTGTGCAGGTGCCAAGTCCTGTTGGAAAATGAAATCTGCATCTCCAAAAAGTTGGTCAGCTGCAGGAAGCATGAAGTGCTCTAAAACTTCCTGGTATGTGGCTGCGTTGACCCTGGACCTCAGAAAACACAATGGACCAACACCAGCAGATGACATGGCACCCCAAACCATCACTGACTGTGGAAACTTTACACTGGACTTCAAGCAACGTGGATGAAGTGCCTCTCTTCTTTTCCTCCAGACTCTGGGACCTTGATTTCCAAAGGAAATGCAAAATTTACTTTCATCAGAGAACATGACTTTGGACCACTCACCAGCAGTCCAGTCCTGTTTCTCTTTAGCCCAGGCAAGACGCTTCTGACGCTGTCTGTGGTTCAAGAGTGGCTTGACACAAGGAATGCGACAGCAGAAACCCATGTCTTTCATACGTCTGTGTGTGGTGGTTCTTGAAGCACTCACTCCAGCTGCAGTCCACTCTTTGTGAATCTCCCCCACATTTTTGAAGGGGTTTTGTTTCACAATCCTCTCCAGGGTGCGGTTATCTCTCTTGCTTGTACACTTTTTTCGACCACATCTTTTCCTTCCCTTCGCCTCTCTATTAATGTGCTTGGACACTGAGCTCTGTGAACAGCCAGCCTCTTTAGCGATGACCTTTTGTGTCTTGCCCTCCTTGTGCAAGGTGTCGATGGTCGTCTTTTGGACAACTGTCAAGTCAGCAGTCTTCCCCATGATTGTGTAGCCTATAGAACTAGACTGAAAGACCATTTAAAGGCTTTTGCAGGTGGTTTGAGTTAATTAGCTGATTAGAGTGTGGCACCAGGGGCCATCAATTTTGAACCTTTTCACAATATTCTAATTTTCTGATATGATGAATTTGAGATTTTCATTTGTTGTCATTTGTAATCATCAAAATTAAACAAAATAAACATCTGAAATATATGAGTTTGTATGTAATGTATGAATATAATATACAAGTTTCACTTTTTAAATGGAATTACTGAAATCAATCTACTTTTTCATGATATTCTAATTTTATGACCAGCACCTGTAAACAGATGTCATTTCATCACATCCACAGAATCAGATTTGTGTGATGAAGAACTAACATGTAATTCTAGCCTTCATCCTGGCAGCAGCTCGTTGGGCCTATTCACACAGCTCTGTGTTCGTGCTGGATATCTCCAGGCTGTTTCCCTCCTGGAGGCTTCTTCTTGTCCCCTTCAGAAGTCGGGAAAGGAACTGCTGGGTGACATGTCTGTTTTTAGATAACATTACACTGGTTTAGATTAGGAGAAAGCAGCCAGGGCTCATGGGGTTTACTTCACAGTTATATACAGAAACTGGATTTTCTTGCAGGGAGGTATGCTGGTCTTTCTCCTAGGTTTATGAAGTCTTGTTGAAAATCAACTGGTGAAGCGGAGTCGGTTGTGCTTTATCAGTTTAATTTTTCTTCCTCTGTTTTATCAGTTTTACTTTTTTTTTTTATCTTTGGTTCCTAAATATTGTAGCTGGTGGGACCTTAATTAGTGCTGCACATTTAGGTAAAGTTTTCACAGCAGGCCTGACCATTTTGCTGGGATCTGTGAGAAACCTAAACCTATCATGATCTCTGATTAGAGATTATTTTTGAATTAATATTCTAACCACCTGCATTTGATCCTTTTTACAAAGAAAAACACTTAAATGTTATTTAGATAGAAAGCTATAAGTAGAGGCATGGCTGTCTAGACATTTTGGGACTATTATGTAGAGAAAATAACAGGTCTAGAGAGTAGCATCTATTAGTCAGCAGGTCATGATGATTATTATAGAGAGCACAGATTTCCTGACTCTCTGCTTTGTTGTTGTTTATCTAGACGGGTGTGTCAGATAAAACTGCTGATGAAATAACTAGAAGCTGTTTATCTAAAAGCTGCTGCAGCCTTGTTTTCACTCAGGTCAGTTCTACACAGAAACACCAGGTGTGCACTAGAGTTAAACCATCTCGACTGTTTTCATTCAAACAGTTGCTGCAGGGTGCAGTGCAAGACGTTCCTTCTGCAAGGAAGTCAAAACCTTCCCAATATTTCTGAGCAAACACAAAGTAAACAGGCAGGTGAGGCAACCATGAAAACAAGCAGCAGTTGTTCTGTGCATGCTCAGGCATATTTTCTTAATTCACGCACAGTCACACTCGGTTAGCTTCTGGAGTTTTTGCTAAGCTGCAGGCAGGAAAATCACAGCTCCATCTGGAAAATTTCTGGAAAACCTCAAAGCAGCTGAAAACAAACTCCTAGGAATGTAGAGCCTTTTATATAATGAATATTGCTTTTAAATAGGACATTTCCATGGCTCATTTTTGAAAGCGCCATTAACTTTATTGAAATGATGCAAGATTAGCATGTTACCCTAAATATATAACATGCTTTAAATCACAGCCTCCCTAAGAGCAGCACTATGTCCCATGGATAATGTCCTAAATCATTCAGGCTGTTATCCAAATAGAACTGGGGTGTTTCCTGTAGTACAAGTATTGTATAAGGAAGTACTTCTTCAACTTCTGACATGTTTAACATAAGCTGAGCCATAACAGTCAGGAAACCGAAGACAATAGCCAAGTGGGGATGCCTCTTCTGATTGGCTAAAATATTAAACCAGCCTATCAGTTAAACATTTCCCTTTTTCCTGCAGTCCTGCTGCTGCTCAGCTTTATTGATTTATGAAGTACTGAAGCACCCAGCTGCTGCTTCTTTGCAGTATTTTTATTCCATTGCACAAACATTCTGCTTTCTGAGCTCGACCTATTTCCATTTGTTTCTGATTTCTGCACCTAGAAAAAGGAGAACAGAGTTTGAGGCTAAATTATGGCCCTGTAGCCGACACTGGTGGGAACTAAAGCCTGCTGAACCTGAAGCAGCTTGTTGAAGCTGATCTATAAGGAGCCTGGGTGGGAAGGAGACCTGCGGGGGGATTGTGTACGCACTTCTATATCAGATGTCAAGGTGTGTGTCAACCAGCACGGAAATGCAGCTGTATTCTCCTGTATATGGGTGGGGCAAGGTGTGAGGACAGGAAGGAACGAGGACTAGTTGTGGGGGTGGTGGTTTTTCCTCTCTGCTGTGGATGAAACAGAGGTGTGGGAGCAACAGAAGGAAGGACTCCATGTTTTCCTAGAGTGCCTGCACCTCTCTTTATATAAACATGAAGGGTTTTTGGTTATTGACAGATGGACAAAAAGGAAAAAAAAATAGTGACAAAGCCAGGAGAGATAGAGATCTGATGGCGAGGGAACAACACACAAAGGGTGGAAAGGGGGGTAACCATGATTATCGTCATTACTGACAAAGCTCCACTTTCAGTCAATTTGCACTGAACATGTCTGACCTTGTTTCTAGAAGGAGAATCAGGAAAAAACATCAAAACATTTGTGATCCCAGCTCACTACGCCTTCACTAAAGTAGATTGGTAACAGTAACCTGGTATTTAAAGGCATAGAGAGGTAAATTAGCACCTATATTAGGCAGGTATATAATTAAAATCAGTCATGTCAGAATATATAATTTAGGGGCCATTTATTTTTTTGGTCTATCTTTCAGTATCCAGCCGCTCACACTGAGCCTTGTTCTGCTGGAGCTTTCTTCCTGTTCAAAGGGAGCTTTTCCTCTCCACTGTTGATGCATGTATGCTCGCTGTGAGGATTGATGCAGAGTCAACAACGCAATGCAAATGAAATGGAGCAAATCCTGCAAAGGCATTGATTGGATTCAATCAGCTGGGTTTTCTTAGAAACCTTTAAACCAATCTGACTGCAGGATTTGGTTGAATTGTCCCTGTAAAGGGCCTCAAAATGACTTATGTTTTGTGAAATGAAAATATAAAAATAAACTGAGTTGAATTTAATCTGTTCTCACAGAGCGTTGCCTAAGAACTGATCCATTATTATTCTTGTTAGATTCTTTTTCCTTTAAACCCGAAAATTGGCTATTTTTTAGCTGTATCGTCTGTGAACAACTGACACAGAAATATGTAGACATGAACTTGATTTTGTGGGATTTTTTTTTTTTTTTTTTTTATGGAAAAACGTGATAAGTGGTGTTCTTTAGCACTCAGCCTTTCTACCCAGATTCCTATAGAAAAATGTGAGTAAAATAAACTTCAGAAGAAGCCAGGAGGCCTAAGGTAACCTGGAGGAGCTGCAGAGCACCGCAGCTCAATTGGAAGAATCCACCAAAACAACCATTAGTTCTTAAATCTGGCCTTTAAGTCAGAGTGGCAAAAATAAGCACTGTTTCCTACTGGAAACATTTGGGAGAAAATAATCTTAACATTGAAAAATTTATGGATAAAACTTAAACACAGGAAACCACTCTAACACAGCAACTATGGGGTAAAACACAGAGGTGGCAGGATCATGCTCTGGGGATATGTGATGGGAAGTTTTAAGGAATTTCTAAATAAAGGAGAATCCTGGAGGCTGAAGAAGACCTGAGATTTATTCCTAAGAATGACCCAGTCAAAGTACAGACCTATATTCTACTGACAAAGAGTGGCTGGACTTAACAACTGATGCTCACAGATACTTTTCATTCAACCTGTCATAGTCTGAGCTAAAATGGGAAAAAACTTTTGTCTGTAGGTGAACAAAGCAGAGAGAAACAAACCCTAGAATATTTAAAACTAGAGCAGCATGAAGAGGAGTCAGTCAATACAAATTCCAGCAAAACATTAAGATTAAAGTTGGCTTTTATAATGTCAGAAAATGAAAGCACTCGGTCGGTTTTCTTAGAACAAATGTCATGGCATGGCCCCCTCTCTAAAAATCTGCTTCGGCTCCAAATGCTTTACACTCCTGTGATGGAGCCTGAATCCAACTACAGCTGCACAGAGAAGCTGTCTGGAGAGCAGAACCAGAGCTAAAGTTGGAGGCCGTCAAGAGGACAGTTCGTTCTGTGAATAATCCCAGCAGTTGGACCCTCACCACCCTCTGTGCACTGCAGTATTTCAAATAATGAAAAAGGAAGGAAGGAATGAATAGAAAACAGCTTTATGGACAAAGGGAACAAATATATTGGACAATAAAGACTTGATTAGTTTTTAATGTGAAAAGAAATGGAAATACACAATTAATAGCTGCTGAGGTTATTCCGTGTAAGCATTTAGAGAGGGAGGGTTAATATCTACAGTGCAGTGTGATGCAGGAGGGTGTTTTTATTATGAAGTCAGAATTAGCCGTCTGTAGAGCTGGAATGAGAGTTATTTCCTCCCTCTCTCCCATTGTGGAATCTCTGTTAGAGAAACTTCTCACCTGACAGCAGAGCAGAGGGAGCTGGATTATTTCATGCAGCTGATATCCTGCCTGTTTAATCTGAAAGCAGGAGTTTAGAAACAAACCGGGCCTCCAGGTGTTTCCATTCAGTTTACATGAACCGATTGTTAGAAGGAACATTTGTGCAGCACCCACTCAGTTAGAAAGGCAGCATACTGACTTGCAAGTGCAACCACATGGAGGCGGATCCTGCTGATGTTATACCACAGCAGACTGTGAACACTGCAGAGACCCAATCTGCTCAGCTTCATCTAAAATCTGACAAGTTGTCAAGGTGTTGCAACGCTAAGCAGAAAGCGGTGTCAACCAGTTTCTTGTGAGTTTCTATTTGCTTTAATCCAGGATAGAAAGTCCGACATGTTGGCACAACAATGCCGCCAGGGAAAAACAACTGATCCACTGTTAAAGCTCTTGGTTCTTTAGCAAACCTTAGCTGGGAAATGAAGAGAAGGAAGTTCAAATATAAATTTAACTACAGAGAAAAAGGCACCTGAGCTCACATGATCTCTGCTTTCAAGCAGACCATCAACTCTGGTTAGTGGGATCAGGGAAGCTGAGGTGGTCCTGTCAAGAAGACAGAAGCAGAGATGGAAAAGTAGCATGGAGGCACTGAACAATAAATACTTCCTAGGTTACAGAAAGTAAATATCAACTAGCTCAATAGGTGCTCTTTCTAGGAAAGCAGATCAATTTTGAAAAAATAAGTATCTTTTTTTAATTTATATTATTCCAAAATATATGTATCCCTTTCTCAAAAATAGGTGATCCTCTGTACTAACAGCTTCCTGGATGTTTTCTTTGGTGTTTGGATGATTCATCTTTGATGAAGAGGTCAAAGTCTTTCAGGTCCTCCATCACCCTAATGTTTAACTCCCTCCACAGATTCTGGATTAGATTAAGGTCTTGACTGTCTGGACAAAGAAAGCCATTAACCCTTAATCTACAAGGGCTGTGAAAATTTTATTTTTTTTCCAGCAGATCTTATGAAAAGTTTCTGTTTCGAATCTTTTTTTTAATATCCTTAAATTTGACAGGAAGTGGATTATTAGGATTATTCATGTCAAATTCTAGAAACCAGTCAGTTCCTGCAGGACTATCTCAGACTATTCCAGAATTTATACATCCAGACATGTTTCATTTAACCTTCATCTGACCTGTGCATACAAACATCAACTTATCAGTGCATTTGATGAACAGGAGGAAAAAATGCAATTTACAATGTATATTCTGCTAATCGCAACTAGACAATCAATGGAGCCGCTCCTTGTTCTGTAATCTTTAATCATGGTGATCACACCGTGAGAATATGCTACCAGCCTAAAACTATTTGCAGCAACACAAGACACAATAATAGAGGATAAAAAAAGCTTAATTACTGGTTTAACTTAATACAAAAAAACAAATCAGCTGAGAGTCGAGATTAATTTCTTACTCTTGAATGGTTTAAGTGTTTATTGGACTCTGCTTTGATTAAATGTACGGCTGAATGTATGCATTAGGGGCAGGAAGTTGGATTAAACGGAAAACAGGAAAATGTAGAACCATTAGGGCTGAAGACAAACTGATCCACTATCATCACTACAGCGATATAGTTTAGGAACACTGCATTCTGACTTTATGCTGATATTGTCTGGATGCATTATTTTCTAGTATAATCCAGCCCAATTTACAGGAATAGAGCTACCAAACCTCATGCCTCTGATCCGCGCATCCAATATTCTGCACACCAAAAAGGTTTTTCTAGACAGATTTATTCTTTACTCTCGGGTATGTGTCCATCTCTAGGTTCCTCAACATCTCAGGGGAGACATTTTGAGTGAAATGACAGAGTTATTTATTGAAGATGTCAGCCTGCATGACAGTGAAGAGAGGAGGAAAAGTCAGCAGACAGTCGTCTGTATCAGCAGAAACCAAGGAGGCTGTCTAACCTCTACAAGTTAAAAAGTCAGATTATATTCTGAATCTGAACGTTTGTTTCGCGGGTTGGGAATCTGGAACGGTTGAGGTAAATTTTTAAAGAAAATTAGTTATAAACAATGACCCATGAGAGGAGCCATTTGACACCATCAATTATTTTAACTCTTCAGGACCTAACAGCTCTATCAGGGTAACCTTTTGACCTTAATTGATAATTAAATACCTCTTTAGATGAAAAAGTGGCAGGAGGGCTCACTCTTAATTCATAAATGACAGATTCGGGTCTGATTTCTAATCACGTGGACGTCTGTTCTCCAGATATGCATCAACATTTGCAGTAGGCTGATACAGTGACAGTGTCTCCTATCCGGTTGAATAGGCTGTCCCTGCCCTGGATGTCCTCACCTGCTATAGTTTTCATCTCACAGTAGCGTGGACACTAAATTATCTGTAAACCAAAATCACTGAAATTACAGAAAATGAAGTCTTTAGTTTCACTCTATGAATGAAATGAAATGAAACATGAAACTTCATACATCATATACATCATATCTCCAAACAATAAGTCCAAAACTCTCTTGAAGTTAATGTACAGAATCTTCAGTTGGATTTGAAGTGGTTCTCTAAGCGGCTTTGCCTCCTGTGGAGACAGGATGATAAATCTGCACCAAGCTGGTCCCCTCTTGAAGGTCTGGTAGGACAGGAGAGATACATTAAAAGTCATTCAGGGAGTAGGACAGAGGATAGGCATTAAAATGTAGTTTAATGCTCCTGGGAGCATCGGGTCAAAGTGACTAAAGGCTCTGCAGAGCTTTTAGGAAGGCTACTGTGGACTTTATCTGTTTGCCAACAGACAGAAGCAGAAAACAAGAACATAAAGGTGAGGAGTTTAATGAATGGACTCAGACAGCAGGTTGATAACAGAGGAACACACAGTATCATCTAATCAGAACTTCATTCTGATCTGATGTCGTGGATTTCCAAACCAGCTTCACAACCATGCTTCCTAAGCCCGACTCTATGGCCCTGAGTTTTCTGCCAAATGTCCACACACGCAATAAATACTCCTACAAGAAGCTTTACTTCATACGGACGCACATTAATGCTTCTTCGTGCGTGTGTTTAAAAGGTTAATGTGCAAATAGTCCCAGAGAGCCCTAATATACCCCACACCTGAGTGCTTGTTCTATCTCTGTGCGCGTGTGGTTTGATTTCTGCGCACACGCTCCTCCTCACATGTGGACCTGTTTCTGTGCGCTCATGTCAACTTTTGTCACTTTGAAGGTGTAAAACACCAGACTAAGCAACCCACCTTTGATTTTAGATTTGATGTATTCCTCAGAAATAAAATATAAAGTACACTGGATTGGATATTTAATATAAAATCACTGATATCCGATTCAGCTAATTAGCCAATATCGGAGCAGAAATCTGATCCAGGTATCGGATTGGAGCAACTCTGGTTAAAACCCCTCTAGTCTTCTCCTGAGTAACGGGATCTCTTCCTTTCTTTCATGTTAGGAATCAGACCCCCCATCATGAACGGGCCCATGCACCCGCGCCCCCTGGTGGCGCTGCTGGATGGCAGAGACTGCACAGTGGAGATGCCCATCCTAAAAGATGTAGCAACGGTGGCCTTCTGTGACGCCCAGTCCACACAGGAGATCCACGAGAAGGTAAGGCTCCCACTGAACCATCAACACACATACAGAGGTGTTTAAGGTAGAACCCGAACAACTCAAGGCCTAATAATTAATCATAGGACTCACTGGGTAAACAATGGGGTCTATCAGGTATTGTTGAAGTTTCTGCTTTTTTTCCCGACACTCAATAATCCGAACATTTGAGAACCGAATTCAGGCTTCATCTCCACAGCAGAACAAAGACCAACACTTTCATCACTATCTTACAGCATGTTTGCCAACATCAGATAGGTCCCAATAAAGAGCTCCACACATCTGTTTTACATGTTTGCACAATCTATGATTATTCATATTATGAATAATTATTATTTACAGTGCCACATGTCTCTTCTTATTAATCTTGCTGGTGAATCCATTTCATTTAAAAGACTCCAAAACTTTAAAACTTCCTGCTAGTGAAAGAAAATAAAACACACTCCTCTTGCAGAGGAATATGTTGATGCTTACCAAAGTTTTAGGACTGTGTTTAACTTGTAGTTAATAGCTTTTTTTTTTTTTTTTTTTTACCTCATCAGGTTTATTGGCTCTGTGTGGAATCGGTTTCTCTGTTTTGCCTCTCTGAAGGACATCTGCTTTCTGCAGCTGCAGCAGATAAATAAGAGCTGGTTCTCAGAGTCTGGCCATTAAATATTTTTGCACTTCTCCTGTCCTTGGGTATAAAGTCCATGCTTCTTTGTGTTGATGTGGTTACAGTTACAGTTTTGTACTTGACTTTTACTTAAGTTACTTAAATAAACCTGGTTGATTGTTCTTGACCATAACAGTGCTTAGATAGCAGGGCTCGATGTTAAGCATCGCCCGATTTCCCGGGGCAAGTAGTTTTTATTGTCGGGAGAGTATAATCTTAATTGCATTTGCCCGCCGGGCAAGTCCAATGATCGCAGAAAAAAATTTATTTATCACTCAAAATTACTTTAAAATCACCGACATTCGATGAAAACGACCCAGAAGCGTTGCCGTCGCCATTTTTGTTGTTTTGTACACATTCTCGCGTGATTTGAAAAAGACGTGTGATTTGAAAAAGCTGGGTGATTTTCCGCCAGATGGCGTGATTTTTGTAACCTGACAACAGCCAGATGCATGTCTCGCTCCGCCTAGCTCCACTCACATACATCTGGGAACCCGCCCATTGAAAGTGATTTCCCCAACCGAATTTATGGTCTGTCCATTCAGGACGCAGGGCGGGTGTGTCCTGGAGTGGAGAAGCGACCGTGAGATTCCAACAACAATGGCGGCTCGCATTGAGGAAGCAAGCGTTAGCATTGATGCTGCTATTTCTTCTGTGTTGTCCAATCTATCTGATATTGTTTCATTAAAAGAACATCAGAGAACGGCTTTGAAGGCTTTTGTTGGTGGAAACGATGTTTTCGCCCTTCTCCCGACCGGATTTGGCAAGAGCTTGATCTACCAAATGGCTCCTCCTCTCACAGCGTCACGGGTTAGCTTCGGTGTGAGTGGTTGAAATAGCACGTCAATAAAGATGACAGACAAGTGGCTTATCCAATCATATGCAAGGAGTTTTGATAAGGCCCAGCCTTCAGTAAAGGCAATTCCTATGGCGGGTTCCCAGATGTATGTGAGTGGAGCTAGGCGGAGCGAGACATGCATCTGGCTTTTGTCAGGTTATGATTTTTGTCCACCTAGTGGTAATTTTGATATAATTACCAAAACGACAAACAAGCTAGAAAGTGCTATCATATGGCAGTCTTCTGTACAGTGATGCAGGTCATACATTAAAAAATGTTCATTATTTGTTTGCTCTCAGACATTGGAGAGGTGCATTTAAATGTTATAGAGCTAAACATGTTAAATTGGTGACCTGTTATGTTGTTATTGTCTTGTTGCAGCATTTGTTTTGTCAGGGAAAACTAATCCTAAGTTAAAAGTCAGGGAATTCTGAAATTATGTAAGACTGTGGAAACCCTGTATAAAATAACTGTATAATGATTCTCTAGAATAGTCATATTATATTAATAGTATTATCTTGTATAAACATACCGGGACTCTAAAATAAAAGTTATTCATTTGTGACATTGACTTCTATCTTGTGATTTACGGTATCTTAAGTTTTTAACCTGTCAAGTTTTTTTTTTTATTTTTAACATTACAATTTATATTTTTCCAAGCACACAACAGTTTAAAGCAAAGTTTAGTTTGAAAAGAATGTGCAGGAAGGATTGAAAAGCATGTTAACACGGTAATGTAGGCTTGAATTCATTATCTGACACATGCATATACACACCAGGAACCTGGAAACTTAAAAAATACTGAATTACAAAAAACATTAAGAAAACAAACATGTTTCATTGATATATATACAAAATGACTATTAGGAACTATATTTATCAAACATTATACTGCGCAAGTAAAAATTGTTTCTGGGCAAATGAAATGTGAAAGTCACTTGCCCTTTGGGCAAGTGGTAAAAATCCTTAACGTCAACCCTGGATAGTCTTATTTTGCTGTAACCAACTGATTCCCTATGGAGAGAAAAGGTGCAGTCAGTAAAGTTTTATTATTGCTACATTAATGATATATCAATGTTACTCTTTGAATGCAGAATCAGGATATTAAACATTGAACTAAATTGGTGTGTAGCATTCTTTTGCTATGGCAAAAACTTAGAGACCAAGGGATAGAGGAAATAAAAGCAGAAACTTCAAATGTGGGTCATGTTCTGTTCTTGAACAGCCAACATGGATGTTAAATGGATTTGTATGTCTGGCAGGGTTATGTTCTTGGTGTCTGCCAGGCCCACCATCTCTGGGAGCGTGCTCAGTAGGCCACAATATGGGAGAAACAGATGGCTCAGCCTCTTGCTCTCTTATTGGCTGCGTATGAAGCAGAGTAATTAAAAGGGGGTTCTTTACAATAACCGAACCACATGTCATTTTTAATCCTTTACAGAAACAAGAAGCAGTGGGCTGACTTCGTTAGAACAGTATCATACAGATAACTGGGAACCAATTTAAAGGAGGGAGCTAAAGCGGCTTACACAGTTGCCTTTCTGTTCTGTTTGTGAATTAAATTAATGCCTTAGTTGCTATACTTCAGTCTCAATTAGGAGATAGTGACTATTGCCAGATACAGACAGTTTTATCTGCAGTTGATAAATTGAATGGAATAGAATATATTTATTTACCTAGTGAGAAAATGTGTGGGTGAACAGGGCAACACAATTGGACAGAAGGAAGCTTAGAGGTAAAAACAGCTAAATTATATGATGAAGAACACAATTTCAAAAGCTAAAATGTCCAGAAGAAATAAAACATATCATACAATATAGTGTGTTTTTTAATTTAAAAGCTTTTACTGGTAGAAAATTGGGAATGTTTAAGTTTAAAAGAAAAAAACACAGAGGAGGGACGATGTTTCTCTGCTGGCTTTGGGATGCTTCGGGAGTCCCTGAGACGAACCAGAGGTGGTTTTTGGATCCTTGATCAAAGAATGTAAAACTTGTGTGATAATTATTGTTTTAGAAGAAATGTTTATTGGGCCTATGGGGAACAGCGAAGATTATGCAGTTTAATGCAACTGGGAGGAGGGATCTGTGGAAGTTGTTCTCTGTGCATCTAAGGTTCACAAAGGAAACATCCTCAACTGTAATCTATACATATAAGAACATTATGTTATCCAGGTACAGATTGATTGACTAATAAAAATGCAACACAGGTTTGAGAAAAAATGTCTCCACTGTTTGACAAACCTTTTCTATTAGAGGAACGTCGTCAGGAAATGACCTCCTGTAACACAAGTGTTCCTGAATCAGTTTTTATCAGCTGTCTGCTTTTTGTCTGCAGGTCCTTAATGAAGCTGTAGGGGCTCTGATGTATCACACCATCACTCTGATGAGGGAAGACTTGGAGAAGTTTAAAGCGCTGCGCATCATCGTTCGCATCGGCAGTGGCTACGACAACATAGACATCAAATCTGCCGGAGAGCTCGGTACAAACCTCACGCAGGCTCAAACATGCTAATCAGCAGCTGCTACAACGTTAGACTAGAGCTTCCCAAACATTTCAGGCTGTGACCTCAAAACTAACAGCGTCACACACTTGATTTCACTCTTTATTCATTTTATAGTAAATAAAACAAATGCATTTTTAATATATGAAATTATATAATGTAGAATTTAAAAATAATTTTTAAATCATTTAATGGGACATTTTAATTAATTTCACTTCACATTTTAAAATGTAATCGTATCATATTTAAATCATGTGTTAGCTAAATAAAAAAAATACATTTTAAATAAATTTATTTTTTACAGTTGGATTTGCAGTCCAACTGTAATTAAAGTAAATGATCACTATTTTAATTTAAGATCAAGTTTATTAGCTGCTAGGTTGAGAACACCCTGCTTTAAAGAAGTATGCAAACGCTTTACATATTCCTCCTATTAGAAATGCAGACTTCAGTGTATTTTTATTAGATCAACACAATGAAGGAAAAACATAAATGGCATCTTTTTTAAAGAAATAAAAGTCTTAGCACCCTTGATGTGATACTCGGTTGGGACTAGAGACTGAAATGTTTGACCAACCTTCTTTGTAAAACATCTCAAGCCCAGTTAGTTTCTGGATGGAGAACATCTATTAAAGCAGCTTTTAACTGTTGCCACAGTTATTTTTTTATTTTTTTAATGTGATAGTTAATTGTTTATTATTAATTAAATATTAAGTAATACATATATTGTTTAAAAATATGTAGCAGAATAATTGATAACCCAGGCAATATAATTAGGTTATTTCTTTGTATTTTTAACTTTATTTAAGTTTCTTAATTTTTTTTTTTGATGGAAGATGATATAGGTCTAATGTCTCTAAACAAAACCTAATAGATTTTTTATTTTTATTTTCAAAGAAAACTAATTTGTTAAAACAATGATACTATCTATCACGATGCTGGGGTTTGTCCTCTATAACTCTAGATTTCCTGTCAGTACCAGTGGATATTGTATGAGGAACTTACAAAGTCACTGAAATATAAAAACCGGCATTTCAAATTTAACATACGGTAACATTAAAATCATGAAATTTGAAATCCAATTTATAAAGCGTTTTTTAATTGTACATTTTAAAATAAATAAAGAGGAATTCTAAGTTGTATCTATAAATCGATCTTTAAATACTGAAATTTGAAAAATTATTGTAAATTCCTATTTCTTAAAAAACAAAAATCATAAATTTGTTTCTTCTTAGTAATTTAACTGTGGAAGTGTAGCCAATGAGAAAGCCGTTTACATCTGAGAGCAGTGGTTGGTTTAATTCTGTTTTCAGTTTAATGTTAAATGGAGTGGTTTAAGCAAAAAGAAAATGTACAATTAGAAAATACTCTTTAAATTAGATTTTTTCAAATTTCATGATTTTAATGTTACATTTGAAATGGCTGGTTTTATGGAAAGTAACAAAGTACATTTACTTGATAACTGTACTTAAGTACTTTTTTGAATAGCTTTACTGGAGTCATTTTTTGTGGGGCGTAGCTATAACTTTAACTCAACACGTGATTCAAATATCGTACTTTCTACCCCACTACATTTCGATGAAGCTGCTAGTTACTTGTTACTTTTTTGCTCAGCTTAGCTTCGCAATCTGCTGTTGCTGTTTTTCTTTCTTGAAGTGCAATTTCAACCTGGCAGATAGCAGCCCTGAGGACTGAATTTGGACACGATTGTTTTTTTTTTCCTGACAGTCCACAAATGTGAGGAACTCAGGGCAGATATTATTTGTACTTTAGAAATTTTATTAAGGCGTTAATTGTTGCCATGTTGTTCAGTAGAATGAGTTCTCAAATCAGAGTTTTAAACCTCTATTCCACCCTGAAAGTGTGAGATAAATCAACACACTTCTGTTTTCCTTTTATTTTGTTTTTGAATAATACAGAAATGTACAGGTGGTGTAGCTTAACCTTCGCTGTCATTATTTGTTTTTTTTTAGATTTTGCTTTTTATTAAACTTTTATTCTGTTTGTATTAAAATGATCTTCATCTGGATGCCTTGGCTTGATGCAGATCTGAGGGACTTAGATGTTGCAGCTCACAGACTGTGGCTGAGACACAGAGAGGATGATGGAAAGAAACAGGAGAGAAAAATATCTGCACCTTTCTGCAATAATTATGTAGTCGGTTGCAATATCCTGCGATAACATCACGACTCCTTGTTTAAAATTCTACAGACGCCAAACACAGACAGCCTAAATAAAGCTTCCACTAACCGGAACTTTCCAACTCCTTTCCAACAGGCATAGCTGTATGTAACATGCCGGCAGCATCAGTGGAGGAGACAGCAGACTCCACGCTCTGTCACATCCTCACCCTGTACAGACGCACCACCTGGCTGCACCAGGTTTGTAGCTCTGCAGCCCAGATAACAGACGCTGCTGTAAGGAGATTTCAGTCAACTCCTTCTGAGTCGATCTGTAGGAGGTGTGCATTTGGTCCTCACCGTTTTTAGTTTCGACAATAACTAATAACTCATCTCTAACAAGTGACATATAAGCAAAATTGAACCATTTCATTTTCTTTAGAATGTGGCTGTATTTGAAAGACGTTGATGTAAAGTGTAGAAGGTACAGTAAAATGATTTGTTCCTCAAATCATTGCATAGACCCATGTGTTCTAGCCTTCATCACAATAAGGTGCACAGTCCTGTCAATGAATTACAGCTGGATCACGATGTGACTGTGTTGTCCGCTTGGTTCTGGGAAGTGATGGTAAATCTGTGTTCCTGTCAGGCTCTGCGGGAAGGAACGCGAGTTCAGAGCGTTGAGCAGATCCGAGAGGTGGCATCAGGAGCGGCGAGGATCAGAGGAGAGACGCTGGGACTCATCGGGCTTGGTGAGCATCACGGCTGACGTATCGACAGCACAAAATAAAATAAAAAAGGCCCTGTGTTAAGCAAGGCGGTGGCATTAGCATGATGGAGGGACTGTTTTCTTCAGTGAGGACAGGGAAGCCAGTCAACTAATGGGAAGATGGATGAAGCTAAATCCAGAACCATATGAAATTAAACACAATCACTAGAAAATGGTTATAAAGTGCCTAATTTAAGCAGTATGAGAACTTCTAGAGGCAAATGTAAACGCCCCACCTCCGTCTCTCTGCCTAACTGCCTGTTGGTGTTGTGTTTGTAGGCCGGGTAGGCCAGGCTGTAGCCCTGCGAGCGAAGGCTTTTGGCTTCAACGTCATTTTCTACGACCCGTACTTGGCCGACGGCGTAGAACGATCTCTGGGACTCCAACGGGTCACCACACTGCAGGTAAATCCACACAAGACTTAATTTCTGCCGTCCTGTGCTTTCTCAGGCCTGTAACAATAAGTGAAGGCCCTGCAGACGGGAGGCATGGTTGTGTAAATGATTTAAATGCTAACATGCAGTTGGCCTGCATCTATTAACCAGGGATGTTTATGAAACAAATCCTGCAGAAACTATCCACTGAGTTTTTATTGTGCTCTCTGGTTGTTTTCCTCCTCAGGACCTTCTCTTCCACTCTGACTGCGTCTCTCTGCACTGTAGCCTAAACGAGCACAACCACCACCTGATCAACGATTTCACCATCAAACAGGTGCACCCTTGTACTCCAAGCTGAGTTAAATCAATGTGAAGTCATATCAACTATAAACATGTCTTTGTGTGATTGCATGTTAAAGATGCGGCAGGGGGCGTTCCTGGTGAACACAGCCAGGGGGGGTCTGGTGGATGAGAAGGCCCTGGCTCAGGCTCTGAAGGAGGGGAGGATACGGGGGGCCGCCCTGGATGTTCATGAAACAGAACCTTTCAGGTAAGGAATTTAAAGGAAATTATCCGTAACGGGAATGTTTTCATCGGAGACGAGTCTGCACTCTTACACCAGAGCCATATGATCAGCTTCCAACCATATCTGGATAAAATAAGAACTGATTCCTTCTCATCATTTAGGGATTTTAATGATGAATTTGACTCATTATTTCAGGCTTGATTTAAGATAGAACAAACAGCTCATTGATTTATAAGTAAAGATGCTGGTTCAAATGGTTAGGTGAAGAAATAATACAGACAGCCTCAGCTACACATTATTACAAATACACGCCCACTAATATCTTAATAAATGTCTAATATCTTCATAAAGAGGAAGCAGACTTTTTCTAAATGTTTTCTAAGCATCCTAGCTTTAAAGGTACAGTGATGGAATATACAAACACAGATATGGTTCACCGCAGCCCCCCAAAAAATAAGAATTAACTCTTGGATAAAATGATTTCTTTAATTCAGTTTAGTTGCATCTAAAACAAAAAGAATTTTGATCCCAACCCAGATTTAAAACATTCCCTTTGTTGTTGAGATACCGTGGTAGATGGTTTCCATTATATTAGGTAAACTTCCGACAGCTTTACTGGCTAACAGCTAGGGCTGCAACAACGAATCGATAAAATCGATAAAAATCGACTTTTAAAAGCGTTGGCAACGAATTTCATCATCGATTAGTTGTGTCGCGCGATTATTGCGTCATCCGCCGCGCCGTCATCACTGCCTCTTGACTGAAAGAGGAAGAAAAAAAAATATGGCAGAGCGAGTCAGCGCCGCAGGAGGAGTGTTGCCAACTCAGCGACTTTTCAGACCCCTCCAGCGACTATTTTTCAAAAAAGCGACTAGCGACAAATCTGGCAACTTTTTACGGTGTCACTGGCGGCTTTTGGAGACTCTTACGTGAAAGCATGTATCGTTCCTACTCTGCCGTGGGGCGCCTCCCCCCGCTCCCGCAGGAGTCCCTCTCAGCTACATTCAGAGCCTCAGCGTCCAGACTGCAAATGAAGCGCGCATATGCACCGGGATTGACGGCGCAAATTGATCACAATAATTAAAATAGCCTGCGCTTTGTAAAGCGAAAAAAGTGATAACATGCAACTTTTTTCAAAAGAAATTAACATGGCACGGAACCACCATGTTTGTTTGGTTTTAAAGTGGGGAAACGTAACTTTAGTTTCTCAGGTAGCTCATCTGATGCTTTCCTTACCGTGTTAGTAGGTTACAGACAGTGATAAGGTTGGCTACTTATTTTACTTTTAATTTCATTTGAATTAGCTTAAGCAGCGTTTACATTTACTTTATAAATAAATTAACTTGCAAATTATGAGGGCAAGGCTTTTAAAGTTTAAATCTTCTGGCGAAGATAAACTAAAGAAGATCCTGCAATTTATGGAAGTAAAGCAGAATAAAATCCAGCAAGATCAGTAATATGTCAATTAATTATATGCCACATTCCCATGTAAATATCTGTCTTTGAAGGATGTGTTTTTTACCACCCCTAGTTCTCTAATTTTTATTCCAAATACAATTTATAATTTGAATCACAGGGCTATTTTTATCTCTATGGTTAAGTATTTTCTCAAGTAGCAACTTTAACTGCTATACTTTCCTGTCTTAAAAGGCAGAACTCTTCTAGTCTAAAAAAACTCATTTGTTGAAATGGGGGGCCTATTGTTTGAACCCCTTAGGGGCTTTTAAAAACAAAAATGTCTTCTTTTGCGCTTTATGAAACAAAGTACCCTATATTTTGTGGATGTACAGCTACATTTCTCATGTAAGTTTGCGTAGTTTTAACACAAACATTTATTTTTCATATTGCACCAGGACAGTTAATGAGCAACCTGTACTTGTGTGCTTGTATGTTCTGTCTAAAATGTTTATTTTGGAATAAAGAGGTTAATATAAAAAATATTTTTTGTCCGATTCATCGATTAATCGAAAAAATAATCGTCCGATTCATCGATTTTTAAAATAATCGTTAGTTGCAGCCCTACTAACAGCTAACTCCTAAAAAGCTAAAAATATCAATGTAATACCAGCTTTGGCTTCCTTTAAATAAATCCCATTGAAATAATGTATTTAAAGAAACATTATTTCATTATGTTGTGAGCCACATTTTCTCCAACAAAGGTTTGCTCTGTTTTCCTGAAACTGTAAATAATTCCCTTCTTTAATTGTGAATTTCCTCTGTAATTGTGCAGATCAGTAAAGGCCTAGAAATGTCCACCAATCAACTTCTGTAGACCCTCAACATAAACTGTTCCATTTGATAACTTTATCACCCAAAATCCAAACTAGTATTACACATGATGCGGATGCTGCTCATTTTGGGTGTAAACCACAGTTTTTTTCTCATGTTTTAAGTTGAAATGATAAAGTCATGCACAAAGGAATGTTGAGTACTGTTTGCTCTTTGACAGCTTCAGTCAGGGTCCCCTAAAGGACGCTCCCAACCTGATCTGCACGCCACACGCAGCCTGGTACAGTGAGCAGGCATCTCTGGAGATGAGGGAGGAGGCAGCAAGGGAAATCCGAAGAGCTGTGACAGGTTGGTGAACAAACATGTTGCATAAACATGTCAATAACTATACTTAATGTGTCAAAGCATGACATGTTTTAGGCTCTACACTGAGGGTTGTACATAAAGATATATGTTCTTTAGAAAACAGAGATTACTAAACCTAGTAGCTCATTCTTTCCTGATTTTTAAAGTCATTTATTCCTGCTCTGAGTGGTTCAATGACTTTACAAAACATTGACCCTCTATCCCTGGTTTATTTGTTTATTTTTGTCACATGTCTGTTTTCAGGTCGTATCCCAGACAGTCTAAAGAACTGTGTGAATAAGGAGTTCCTCACACCCAACAACCAGTGGGCAGTCGACCCAGCTGCAGTCCACCCTGAGCTGAACGGGGCCTATAGGTACTAGCTGGCACTGGAATTAGCAACCTGCGGTTTCAGATTTTTTTCTCACATTTCTTTGCAGTCCAACTGTAATTCAAGTAAATGATCACTATTTTAATTTAAAATCAAGTTTATTAGCTGCTAGGTTGAGAACACCATGCTTTAAATAAATATGCAAACGCTTTACATATTCCTCCTATTAGAAATGCAGACTTCAGTGTATTTTTATTAGATCAACATAATGAAGAAAAAACATAAATGGCATCTATTTTTTTTTTAAGAAATAAAAGTCTCAGCACCCTTGATGTGATACTCGGTTGGGACTAGAGACTAAAATGGTTGACCAACCTTCTTTGTAAAACATCTCAAACCCAGTTAGTTTCTGGGTGGAGAACATCTATTAAAGCAGCTTTTAACTGTTGCCACAGTTTCCAAGTTCATTTTAGTTCTGGAATTCCAACACATGTATCTGCTTTGATCTAAACTATCCATAGAATTGTGCTACAAGGTGAACCACACTCCATTCATCTACAACCTTTAACAGGTTTTCTTCCAAGATTGCCAGCATGATGCTGCTACCACCATGTTTTAATATGTAACTGATTTGCTAATGATAAATTGCAGCAATATATATCCTCTACATAGTGTTTGGTCTGGTTTAAACAAACCATGTTTTTCTTTATATAGCTGGGTCTCCAACATGGCAAGCTATGAACAGGATTTCTCTTTTTCTTTTGACAAAGTCTTATTTTATTTACTTTTCAATAACCAGTGAAGTATTTGTTGCTCTGTTTCATAAATGTAATTTAAATCCAATGTTGGTGTTTTGTGACCCACAGTGACAAAGGTCAATATATATATGTTTTGTGATCTAATTTGGAAACTTCTCTACTGCTGTAAGAGTTCAGCTTCCATCTTAGTCTCTTTCATTCCCCCCCTCTCAGGTATCCACCAGGTGTGGTGAGCTTGCCAGCCGGTGGCCTTCCTCCACCGGTCGAAGGCATCGTACCAAGCGCTGTTCCGATCACGCACACCCTCCCGCCCGCTGTCGCACACCCACCTCATGCACCATCGCCTGGACAAAACACGGTGAAACCACCAGAGGGCGATAGAGAGCAGCATCCAAGTGACCAACTGTAGCCCACAGGCTTGTTTACCCAGCAGGTTCAGGTTGGATTCACATCTCCATGGCAACAGCTTCCCACCAAACAGGTCACACTTCATAGGTGGAGAAGAAGACAATAATGAGTAAAAGGAACGGATAACTGACAGATGCTTTAATCCACAAATAGGACAGTTTTCCTCTAACCCTGTTGCTCATCTTTTTACATTCTTTGACGGAAGTGAAAGAAAAAAAAACAAAAAAAGCAATTATTTTAAATGATGTGTCCTTTCCTTGGTTACATGTGAAAGCAGTTCATAGGTTTTAAACTGAATGTAACCTGTTTGTGTACAGATTCTAGATCTTACTGATATTTCAGTCTGAACAAGAACTGGTGTGAGAATACAATTTCTGCTTTTACATTTATTTTCCCTAATTTAGCAAGGCCCCCCAAAAAGAGGAAGCTTTTTGCACACCATCTCAGGAACCTATGTTTCCGCAGTTGGTACCCTAGTTTGTTTTATAACATTTTTTTCTTTTCTGAATAGTTTTTATGCCACTCAGTGCTTTTGTTTTTCTACCTGCTTGCCTTCTCGTGTCCCGTTGCATTAGAAAAGAACGACTTTTGCCAGATATAAAGTTGATCTGGTCTTTGCTTCTGTTGGTTTCGCTAAGGAGCATGTCAATTTGCTCTGGGGACTTGTGTAAATGTTCGACCTAACTAAATGTGTAGTGGGAAGAAGGGTTTGTAGAGGTGGAAAAAATGGCATAGTTGTTTTGGACCACTTTATTCTGATGTGTGATTTTAATTTTCGGGGTAAGAAGGCCACACAATAAGGAAGTTCTCTACAGTTTAAAACAGTCCTGTGCGAAAATACTGCATCCTACCTGTGTGATTTACAAATCCTTGCAGCATTCAGTTAGATATTGCAGCAGTTGTTGCTCCGGTTCTGACCATCCTTATTGCTTTAATCCAACATTCCACTCTGCAACTAAAACTACATTATATTAGTGACCTGTGCAGGCTAGGCTGAGGGATCAGGTAAGGGGGAAGTTGACTGATTAGCATTCAAATACAAGGAGCACAAGTCTGCAAAGGAAGAAGGAAGGAAGACCAGCAGCTGGACATGATTGAGAACAAGAAATCCACAACCAGCACTAAAGAGCCGAGCACAATGAGACACTGGGTCCAGTTTCCTGAGATTAGGCTCAGATGAATTCATTAACAACCAGTCATCATAGGAAGGAAGGAGTCTTACTGAGATTAGTGTAAACTCTGACTTGGTGAGAAAAACGTGTCCTGTTTGTGTATCTGATCACAGAGATGTTCTTATCCTATATTATCATCCCAGTTTTGGCCCCATATGTCTCTGCCCTGCAATAGACTGGTGACCTGTCCAGGGTGTGCCCCGCCTTATGCTCATAGACTGCTGGAAATAGGCCACACCTCTACCGTGACCCTGACAGACGGTTGGAAGAAGATGGATGGAATTTGTTTCCATAAGAAGTTTGAATTGTGGAGGGCGGGATTAATCTCATCACATCAGTAATAATTCTGTACTAACAGATAAAACGGCTATTAAAGAAAGCTTCCCCCCATCTGAGGAACTTTATGCTCACAAACAACACCCTCAGATGCCCCCTCTAGCTATCTGTCCTAAATACATTATGAATAAAATCTGGTTCTTTTTCTTTAGTTTTGGGTTGCCATCTCCCTTGAATTGTAGATAAGTATTTTATAATGGAGGAACTATTTTAGATGAGGAAGAATCTGGCTTCTTTGCTTGCTTTCCTCCATAGAGCTCTGCTGCTGTAATACCCATACCAATTTGACATATTGTGTTTAAGATGGTGCCGTTACAGACCAGACAACATCCTCCATATATGGAAGTGCTTCCTGTTTCAGAGGGCACATCAACAAGGGTTATTTATGTGTCTGTTTTTTTTTGTTTTTTTTTTTACCTTAGTTTTGTGCTTTAAAAAAAACTTACAATGCCCGTCTTTTCAATCATTTGTATGTTAGTATTTTCAGGGTTCCTGGCTCTAAAATCTGATGATAGTTTGCACTTTAAGTTGGTAACTCCAGCCTATAAAAACAGTTAAACTTCCAACTTTCCCCAAAAAGATATCAGAGTTTTATTTGGCTGCACAGTTCTATCCTCTTGAGAAGAAATGTGTGCTACTTTCCCCATACAGTATGAGCACAGAGAAGTAAAGGCATTTTTTTCTCCAGGGAATCCTGGTATCCCTTTAACACTTCAAGCCGGGTCCTTCCCAAATGTACCATTTAAGCATCCTCTGTGACCCTGTGTTTATGTGTAAATATGGTGTTCTGCTTGCCTGTGTCAATGTGACTTGGTTGTATCTGTGTCTAAAAAGAAGCGCTGGTAGGTGGGGGGGCTAGATCAATGGCTGCCCTCTAAATTTAAAGTTGGACTGTGAAATAAAATGTGGTTAGAAATGTTACTCAACATTTGATGCCGTAAAAGGCATCATTCATCGTAATCAAAGCAGGATGCAAAAGCTGTTAACTCCAGTTAATCTGTAATCTGGCCAGTAATCTCTAGATCCCCTCCTACCGGCGGCTGAGTAGTAATAACAGTTTACTTTTGCCTACCTGGTCGTCTTTATGGTGAGGTAGTACGCGTAGCAATCAGGGATGGACATTTCTTTCGCCACTGCTAAGCCTTTTACAGCCAAGATCTGTGTCTGCAGAAACTGGAGGTCCTGAGGTCATATCCTGAACGCTGACCTCCACCAAACACCCGTCATTCTAGTTCTTCCTGACACAAGCTGAAAACATTCCTCCTTCCAGCCAGTTTCCAGTTTAGGGAGTTTGAAATTCCATCCCTGGTAGTAACATACAGTCTACTGTTGCCTCTCCTTTATGGTAAAGTAGTAGGCGTAGCAATATACAGTATACATATTCTATATTCTACAGTAAATATCATTATTTTTGGTTAAATGATGACAACATGAAAAGATATGTTTGTGACTGTATGCATTTGTATGAATTATTTTAAAAGGAAATAAACTGTGGAAAGGTGACGGCTGGTTTTCCTAAATTTTGTATATCATTTAACATCTATATTTATCTGATAAATAAATATGTATGCTTGGTTTACATTTTGGCTGTGACTGCACAAATTCAGGAAAATATTTAATACTGATTCATTGTTTTAAACTGTGGTTATGATCCATTTTCATTATCCAGACACATTTCTTTCTGTGCCGTTTTATATAAAGTTCCCACTGCTCTCATATTCTACAGAATCTCAGCCACTAATGAAAAGAACCTATCTGGCACGGGACTTGTGGGAAGATAGAAGGAATTTAGTTCGTTGGATGTTTTTATAGTGTGAAGACATGACACTTGAAGTATTACAAACAAACAAATATGAATACATATCAGCCTTTGACCAGATAATAAACCCTGTCTTAATCTGTGTCTTTTACTCATCCTGGACCGGGTCGTGAGGGCAGAGGTTTTAGCGGTGACTACCAGACTTCTCTCTCCCCAAACACCACCTGCAGCTCCGCTGTAGGAAGCCAGAGGCATTTCTAGGCTATCTCAGAATTATTATCCCTACAGTGTGTGTCCTTGCCCCCCTCTGCATGGGATGTACCTGAAATAACTCCTGAGGAAAGCATCCAGGGATCATCCCAAACAGACATCCCAGCCACCTCATCTGACTCCTTGATGTGGAGAAGAAGCAGCTATACTTCAAGCCTCATGACTTGAGTTCTTCACCCTGTCTTTACTGTATAGCATCTTTCCAAACATGCATAAACATGCTAACAATCAGCATTTGGCTCCTTTCTCATTGGCAAAAGAAGTCTCACACACAGCTGCATGTCTGGTGACGCCCACATGATGGGTTAGAGTTGATGATGTCACTGGTGCGACAGAAATCAGGAGGGTAAACAATGGAGAGCAACATGGAAGGAAGCCACCGTATCAGTTTGCTTTATTGTTGGGCACTATTGTCCTTCCGAATCCCTCTTTACCAGTACTACGCCATGTTTATTGAATCTACCTAAAGTTGTTTTGGCTTTTTGGATCAGATGTAATTGATTCAATGTTGTAACATGTGTTTGTTGCGCTCAATTGTGTCACGTGAATTAGCTGGTCGACCTTGGCCTAATGTTCCCACTGTATGCCGATTGGAGTCGAGCTGTTTGACGACAATTTTAACCAATGTCGCATGCCGAGTCAATTGACCTGAGTTATGCAATTGCCACAAAAATCAATTTATTTACTGGTTTAAACACTTTTTTGGCCAGTTCGAAATGGGTTTAAGCAAATGTCTAGCCACCTTGTGAAAAAAGCTAATTTAAGCTGTTTGTATGCATGATCACGTTCTTTCGACCAGGACCCAGGTTCCAGGGCCATAGGTGAGGGTAGGAACATAGACCCACCATTAAATCAAGAGCCTTGCCTTTTGGTTCAGCTCTCTATTACACCACAACAGACCAGTTAAGCATCCACATTATAGCTGCTGCACAGTTAAGTTTATTGATCTTCCAATCCATTCTTTCCTTATTCATGAGCAGGAACCCAGGATACTCAAACTCCTCCACTTGAGACAGGAACACTCCTCAGACTTGCAGAGGGCAAGACACTGCTTATTCAGACGAGGACCATGGCCTCTGACTTGGAGGAGCTGATTCTCATCCCCAGGTGTTAGCAGGAGGGGGCCAGCAGTGACTAAATTTACCAGACCCCCTCTGGCATTTGTGCATATAAATCCTGTCCAGGTTATGAACAGGACTGTTGATAGAGAGCAGGTCCAGTGCTCCATGGCCAAGAAAAAATCTTATAATAAACATATTTACTATTAAGCCAATATTTCCTCATTAAAAAAGGGGACATGTTCCCAACGCTAGTAGTCAAAACAAAAACACACACTCACACAGAAGACAACATAAAGAGATCGACCTAACCTGAACGTTTTTGGACAACAGGAGGAAACTGGAGGTGCTGCAGATAATGGGCTGATGTTTTTCTTCTCCAGGCTACAGAACAAATTCACCTATAGAGACAGTAATAAAGTGATATGGATATGAATACGGTGGGAGAACACACTTATTCCAAACAGAATTACCCTAGGCTGGGATTCAAACCCTTCCTGTTGGAAGGCATCAGTCCCACCAACTGTAAGCCAAGCACATTCTCAGGTAATATTCAATTCTCATATACGTTTTATTATCTGTAAGCAGAAAAGCATTATAAAATAACTGTTTCCTACCTGTGGTAGTTGCCTTATTTGTGACTCCATACAGAGTGAAGGAAATGGAGTTAGTGGCTTTAATTTAATGACTTTGGATACAGCCTCTGTCTGCGTTGTGAAGCTGGAAATAACAATGCTTAATGTCTGTACAGGAATTTCCTCTCTAGTCTTAAATAATCTGCCTCTCCTAAGAAACTGACATGTTTCAAGATTATTAGGTGCATAAATTCCAAAAATGTTTAACTTTGTTTAGAAGCACAACATAATTAGCCCAAAACATCACATCAGGTTCAAAGCAGACACTGGATGTACAACAGCCATCCACCAGATGTCAGCAGATCTAATATCTAAACCTACATCAGTCCTTTCTCCTTTATTTTCTTTGCTAAACTTAAAGCATTTTATTATATGTAAATTTAGATGGCAGGCATAAGCATTAATTCAAAGTTATTGGTTGCCACCTATGAAGAGACATTCTCTGTAATTTCTATGAACCCTGTTTTCCTTTATTTGCAGCGTTAAGCTTCTTATTTTCTATATCCATAGCTAGTCCATTCAGGTTAGCAGTCATTGGTACAGCCTTTCCAGCTGTTGAAAATAAGGTATGGTTTTTTATGATATATTTTTTTTGCTATTTTTATTTATTTCAATACAATCTTAACATATTATGAGACTGAGGCATAAGCTGATTGGATTTAGGGTACCTGCATATTTAAAGTGAATTTTTGAATGGCAGGAAAGTTGCATGCACCTGCTAACCATTTACTCTTTGTGAAAAAATATAAAGGCAGCTGTGATTTTCACCATAACTTGGTGAAAAGCTTGGTGAACATGATATATTGTGTTAGATTTGCCAACCAGATGCAGAATACATCAAATAATGGTGTTGTTTCATGCAATTGTGCAGTTTTTTTTTAACCAAATAAAAAAAAAGATGCATTTTCACCCCTTCTCCTATTTCATTCTCTCAGCTCTCTTAATGCCTCGTTTTGTTTATCTTTCTTTTTTTTTCTCCCCCAGAGATAGTCTCTGCTGTTTTCTATTTAATTGATTATCATCTAAACAAACTCTGACAGGGAATTGGTGTCTAGACGGATGTGGTGAAATACAGTGGCTGCCCTACTCCTAAGAAACTGGGGTAATAAGCTTATATCCCCAATGACTGCAAATTTCCATTAGCATCTGATTCAGTGGAAGTTTCATTGTGCAGTGGGTCCATGTTTGGTTTAATAGGCCATTCAGCTCTGCCAAGAAAAACGTCTGGTGGTGAGTAAACACCAGACACGTGCTTGTAAACGCTGGCTGCTGCCTGAAACGTGCCGCCGTCTTCTACTTTTGCAGGTGAGTTTTTAATTAGTTCCTGGAGTGGAAAACACTTCTTTTACTCCAAAACTAGCTTTCACACTACTTTAATATTTACAACAATGATTTATTTGCATCAGAAACAGACATGGTTTTGTTAATATGTGGGGTTTGAAAACTTCATCCCACATCCAGGCGGGTTCAACAATGCAAAAGGTCTGGTTGTAATTCCTCAACAGGGTCTGTTAAAGTAGAAAGTGTTATGTTTGGCTTTATAAGGTTTGTTAGACCCATACGATGAATAGAGGTCTGGATGAAGGTTGCAGTGCTGAGACCACAGGAATCATATGAGCGAAGATGCATGGCATAAACAATACAAAAAATTAGATCACTAAATATCAAACTTTCCAATGATTTAATCCTGCAGTAAAAACATTTTAAATCCTCTTTTTCCACACTTTTCACCAGGAAGTTTGATTTTGCGTTTTGTTTGTCAGTTTTCCCAGACACCCTGGCACAGCCTTGACCCAGTTCATTCTGCCAAGTTTTAAGGTTTTTTTTTTGTGTTCTTTGCACATGTGTCTGAGGATGAAGGAGCTGATGACAGATGGAGTTTGATTCACATCATCAAGAAAAGCACACAGGCAGAGCTACGATTGCAGCAACTCATGTAGGAGGGCAGGAAACAACCTGACTGTATTTTAGGAGGGGTAGAAATGTTGGTATTAACCATCAGATTAACACCAAACTAAAACACCCATTCTATGGATACATCCATACTGTGTGTTCCATTGATCTGAGTTTGTTTAAGTTGCCTAAAACGTTGCTGAAGGAAAACATTGACATCTTTCTTCCCATCGATACCCTCCAGCTCAGTCTGGGATAGTGTGAGGCATTTCCCAGAGTCCCAGTTCCTCGTCCCAGTAGGACTTATATGGAGGCATTTAAACTGTGGGGTATGTTTGTCCAAGGGACAGGGCTAGTTGTTTTTTTTTTCGGTCAGTCATACATGGGGGTGAATATGTTGTATCCAACACAACTGGTACACTTTATGTCTTTGTGCTCAACAATAACACATTTAAATGTTTAGTACCTTGGAGATGTAAAGCTATATTTTGATAAAGATCTGACTGAACAGAGTTTTCGTGTCAGATCCTCCCATCAACTCTAACCAAACCATTTAAAATGAAATATATACTTATATGCATTCCGCACATGTTCACCTTGAATAGAAAACAGGCTTTAACCATGAAACACAAACACAAAGTGTAGCAGAAAAATAACTGGTGACTATATTCTTATCAATGATTTTATTTCCTTGCAGACCTCTAACACTGATGCCTCCAGACTATCTAAGACCATCAGGGTGCAGCAAGGTTATCGAGGCTCAGACTAACGAAATATTCTGAAATAAATGATTACTAATTTCATTTTATCTTTTTGCTTCATAAAAGTACTAACAGGCTTTAGTTTAAAAAATATTTTTTTTTCTTCATTCAAAAATGATGCTATTGG